GTTAAACAACTATTGTGGGTTGCATACTGGGAAAGATCAGGAGTGTAATTGACCTAGGGGAACCATCAATTAATGAGTGTAATTAGCTAAATAAAACTGGGTCATGAGCACTTGTCAATCAGAATAAGTGATGCGGTGAAGGGTCATCAGAGGAATGCATTACCTGCCCAGGCAGCCAGGGTTACAATAAAGATGATAACATGCAGCTTCATCACGCTCACTTCACCCTTAGGAGCATCAGCTGGCTGGAGCTGTCGGGCACCAGCGTCTCGTCGTCTTCTGGAAAACCACAGCACTTTTATAATAATATTTTCCGCTGCAAGTTTGTGCTACAATGTTTTGGGCTGTCGGGCATGGGCGAAACTTGAGCCCCAAATTACGACAGACTAAAGCATATCTGCAGTACTTATATACATTATTTTGAACTAATTAGCAAAGGCAGATTTGGCAACTTTAATGAACTTCATTTTAGTCCAATATGCTGTAACACCAGGAGTGAACATCCTGCTGTTTCTGTTTTTGATGTATCCTAATTGAGAACCTTAGGTAACAAACGTCCAAATTTGATTTTGCCTAACCTGCCACTCGTCCATCTAAATTCTAAACTACACACACAAAAAATGGCCACCAGTTAAAAATTAAACTGAATTCTGATAATGTTGATGTAGTAGACGCAAAGAGCTCATTTAAAAGTTCCAATCTATTAAAATACGTCTCTTGTTCTTGGAGAGAGATAATCTTGTATTGTAGTGACTGTCTGCTCATATGGATGCCTCTCTCCCTGCACGCCCTTCGTTCTCTTAGTGGCATATATTTTATTGATGATGTTTTTAAAGTTACATGCTGAACTTACTTCTCTGTTAGCTCTGGATATGATGTTTCGTCTTTAAAGTGAGGTCCAGAAATCTTGTGAAACGTATACTATGAAAAGACAAAGTTTGGCCTTCTACCAGTCGCTTGGTATGGGGCTCGGCAAGAGGTAGGAAGCGTCTTGCACGGAGGCTAGGCTTGTAGTGGTTACCTGTCCTTCCATCAACGCTCTCCCGCCTGCCCTCCCTCCATATCTCCGGCCTACCCCTACTTCTCTCCCTCCACTGTTTATCGTCCCTCCTACCATCCATTACCCCATACCTCTCTCCCTCCACTATTGCCCCTACTCCTCCCTCTGCCAGGCCTGCCAATACTTTGTCCTGTCCTGTAGTGTAGTAGGCTACGTCCTCGGGTTCAGCCCCCGGACAGGACAGAAATGGTTAGGCATGTTTCCTTTAACTCAAAATATAAAGTACAGAGTACACAGTTAAGAGTTTGTTCGGTGCAGCTAACTAATCTACTGTTATCATGAGTTGTTGCTTCTTTTACCGCGTCTCTCGTTGTTGTTGTTTTAGATTCAGCTACTTGGTACAAAATTTCCATGTGGCAAGGGCTATGGTGAGCCCGTAACCACGTCTCTCACAGGGATATGTATATATATATACATACACTGAGATGTGTACCCCCACTTCTCGGTGTATATACAGAGAGAGTTTACTTTTGTCCTGGACTATGTTCAAGACTAAAGTATTCTGGTTGGTCAGTAAGTATTTGTGGTTGCCTCAGCCCTCCAGAGTTTGATAGGCATTTGGCCCAATACCTAACCAACCTCAATACTCTTCTACGCATGCCTAAATATGGTATTTGCAGGCTTTCGTAAGCAGTTTAAACCATTTTGTTTTTACTTATTTATGTACAAAAAGGTACATTGGGTTGTGAAAGTACATTGAGCGGTGACCGAGTGGTACTGTACATTCTTACAAAACCACCAACACATATACAACACAACACGATGTAACACAAACAAGGAACAACGGTTTCAAGCTTAAGCCACAATGTAGGACTGAGAACAGGAGATGCTTTTTTCAACCACAGGGTTATTAACCCATGGAACAGCCTACCCGCCGAAGCCGTAAATGCCAAAAACTCTGCTAACGTTTAAAGTACAGCTAGAAAAGATCATCAGGTTTAGTTTAGTTCATTTATTATGCACACCATACCCATCTTGTGAGGGGTAGTGGAAAGGGTTACAGAGGCACATAATGGGCTCAGGGATATCAAGGCAAAGGGGAGGGATTGCCTGCGACAAGCCGCCAGTTTCCTGTCCTCGTCGAGGCCACTAGTATTAGTGGCTCTCGAGTAAACTCTGGTATAGCGTTTCGGGCACCTCCTTGAGCTCACCTATAAGTGTAACGATAAGTACATTGTAACAGAGTTGGTAGAATAAATAATACTGATGAAATTTAATATTCGATGTTGCATTTCTTCAGTAATATACTGGGTGAGTGGATAGCACAAGATGCTGTGTGAGCAGCACAAGGTGGGATATTATGAAGATGACAGTAGGTATGTATTCATGGTTCTACTTATGATTAAAATACCGTATACAGATAGGAAGTCCGTTAATTGGGCTTTTAGAGGCCCTCATAGGCCAACTATACTGACTTTTCCCAGGATGTAATCCCACAACAGTTGACTAACTCTCAAGTACCTATTTACTGCTTGGTGAACAGAATTATCAGAAGGAAAATGAACCCAAACGTCTTAATCGTTCTGCACCAGAATCGAACCCTGGAAGTGACTGTGCTTACTATAATGTTTTGTGGTTCCCGGGGCTTAGACTTAATATTCGATGTGACAAGCACTGGCGTAGTAGTATATATACACTATTTGTAATTTGAAACTAGTCATTTCACGAATTATCATTTTTCAAAAAAAAATGTAAAATTCTCCTGAAAGAGAGCCTAATCAATAGGGGGGCTAGCTATATCCAAGGGGTTGCCTCCCCCCATCTTCAGTCCTAATAAAACCGCAACTTCAAACCTGCTTCAATTAAGGTAGAAGACAAAGAATCATTTGTGTTTCTGGGTTATGGAGGGAATAACTTAAAAAATTATATTTTTTAACACAACCTAGTTTGTTTATGGAGAGATTTTTTTAATAACCTCATAATTAAGAACGAACAAGATCCATTCTAGTAATAATGGCTTCAGTTAATATGAATGTATAGTAAACTCGTTTGTTCGAAACAAAGCTACTCACCAAGTGTTTATGGATTGAACACAGCCTCTGCCCTTGGAGGCTTCCGTTTTGAACAATCAAAAAACTGTTCAAAAATACAATTTTTTTAAATCATGCTCTATGGGTTTAGGTGCGCGTCTGCGACGCTCCAAGACGATGATTCGATCCTCGTCCTCTTCAAAATATTTTCTAAAGATGCTTTCGTTGAAAGGACGCGTGCATTTTCAGATTCACGCAGAGACCATGTAATAAAATATTGGATATTAGGATCTCTGAAGCATGGACCATTAAGGTCTTTGTGGCCTGGACCATTAGGATCTCTGTGACCTCTGGATTAGGGGGGATCCCAGGTTCGATATTCAGGCGTTACTGAAATGGTTGGGTACGTTTCCTTTCACCTAAGAGCAAATAGGTATCAGGAGTTCAGCAACTGTTACGGAGTTGCATCCTGGGAAGGGTCGTTTGTTCGACCTTGGAGGGGACCTCGATGCAAGGTGTGTGTATGCATAAAAAAATGCACACACACACACACACACGGTTCCTGACCCCGACAAAACTAATTAACTTGATGTGGTACTTCAGTAGGTGCTCACCACTCTACCGGCATGACACTCGTCCTACATAACCTCACTCGGCCTGCACGACCTTCACTTTTAAACTTGCAACGTTAACCAAAGACAGGACTCAGGCAGAGCGGGATTAGTTGGGTCAAGTAAAGGTTGGGTATGTTTACTCCTGTTGTTGAGCAGGAGTGACAGGCAAACACTCACGGGAAAAGAAGCAACCGTCACGCAGCATTGTGAAAGCAAAGAGAAAAATCAGAGCAGTTGATTTCTATATGATGCAAAAGCAAATTAATTTATCATATGAATCAACCCAATCTTGGAAACCGCACACATTCTCAACACAAACCCATATGAGCGCTAACGATGTTACAACAATGATGAAGGAAAAAACATTCATTGATTATTTCACCAACGAAAAAAGTGAGACGGGAGTCTTGTGGTACAAAGGCTTTCTCGGGCTATGGTTTATGCGCATAATTCTCCAAAAAATGGACACACATCTGATAACATATGTTGTTGAATATGTTAAGGGTATCATACATTGTAAAGATATTTTGGTTTTGGTAAAAGTACATTTGTAGAGTATCAACACGCCGGGTTTTGTTGAAGCTCAGTATGGAGCTTCAACAAAAGCTCCCATGGCGACATGGGAACCTGAATATAGTTTATGGTTCGGTTGTTTGGTGCTGATAAAACTAAAATTGACACTGAAACTAAGCAAATTAAGTGTAGGATATTCGGTTTTATTTGTACTGTATATGACAAAACAAATTCACTTACAAAACCATCCCCAAATTCCGAAACTCTGTAATTAATTTTCCCCATGCCTAGAGTTCTAGCAAATTCTTAACAAAAACATGGGATGAGAAAACACCTGACAAAAATACTATTAAAAATGTTCTGGCGAGGCTGCAATTACCACAGGCACCACGTGTTACAACACCACTCAAGAGCAGTCAATGGTGTTTGCACTGGCTGTAAAAACATTGTTGGGGGCTTGACCAAACAGAGGAAGCACACCCACCTCTCTTGCTGCCACGCCCTCTTTGCTGCACGAAGCACGATAAATGGGTTTTTAAAGCTTTGCAGTGTGTTCATTTTTACCCCAACCTGCTAGCAACACCCCTGGCCTAACACCAGCCAGCTGGGTACAAATGATAGGATGAGCAACCCAGCGGGTTTTCTTCCTATTGGAGGGTGTTGTACATGCTACTATGGCGGTGTGTCCACTCACAGGATGAGTGGCGCTGCCCAATAAACTCGCCCCTCGGGGCAAAACTTAACCAGCCAGCTAAAACCCTATGCCTTGACCAACCATGGATCTGAGCACCACGCCCCACTCACTAAATCGGTTTATAGAAATATTATTGAATAAAACACAAATTTAGGATGAATGAATACTTTAACATCTTAAAATTAATGTAGTCCGGCACTGTATATAAAATGGAAGGTTTATATGAACCTTATATAAAAAGTAGCATATAAATTAATTTTTATATAAAAAATTATAAAAAGTTTATATAAAAATTCCTATTTCAAAATTGAAACTAACTCTTTTTTTGTTATTACATATTAATGCGTATTGTTATTACATGCTGTTATTATATACAGTATTTATTTTCATGTAAGAAATAGGTAAATTCATATAGGAAAAGAGGTAAATGTAAGAGAAGAAAAACCCATGCAGGAAAGGTTTTAATTAATGTCATGTGTGATTGATGAGACAAGTTGGCTACTACTGAAAATTATGAAAAAATAACAAAAATAATCTGCAAAAAATATGTGGAAAATGACATGGCAAAACACAGACACTATTGTTTACAAAGATTTAACAAGTATAGCAAGCAGGAATGGTTGTGTAAATTAAAATATTGTATGCAGACACTGAGTCACAATAACGTAGCTGAAAATTAAGACCCCAAACTCACAAACCTGAAAACAAAATAAACTGCCAACATTTTGATCCATCCTGGATTACTGTATTACATGACTTGGTAATGGTCCAGGATGGACCAAAACATCATCCATTCTATAATTTCAGTATTGTGGGTTGGGTGTCTAAAATATTGCATCAGAAAGGAAAAGATATGCAAACCTTAAATATAATTAAAGCAAAAATACTGTTAAGAAACCTGTGATTGTCAGTCAGTAGTTTAATTAATGCACAAAATGTGTGTAGCAGAAAAGAATTATGATCATTTGTCCCACTACAGAAGGGAAGCAAAAGTGCACTGAAAACAAGGAAATGGGATAGGTCATATTAGCATAGCTGGCAAGTATATACAATACGATACAGAGTTCATGGGTAAATAAGTACAGTATATATATTTGGGTGTCTTGCAGGTCAGAATCATTGATGGCTTTGGGAAAGTAGATAGACTGTGTACAAGGCAATATATATATTTTTTATATACAGTACTGTAAAGGTCTGGGTAATTACAATTTATACATCAAGAGTAATAATCAATTTGATATCAAAATACAAGCTTCAATTTTAAATATTTAACAATAAATTTATATTTTGAAGGATAGCATATACAAAATAGTTGTTAAATTTATTGGCAAATTTTATATTATAATTTCTTTTTAAGATATTTCAAAATTGAAACTGATTCGTTTGTTTTTTTGTTATTACATATTAATGCTCTTTTAAGTTGTGATGAATGTGGCATTTGCTTTAAAAGTTCTTGTTCCTGAATAATTTCCTGCTGTATATAAGTTGGGAGAGCATTGAAAACAGTTGGATCTATATCATCAGAGAGTACACGAGCCATACGAGATGAGGCTTCTGTAACACTTGGATCACAGACGTTTTTTGTACTGGATGGTTTAGTTTGAGGAGAGTCCCTAACAGTATAGCTACAGGAGGGCTTGCTGCCTTCAAGGGTTTCAGAAGCACCACAAGGCACCTCCACAGAATCACCAGCTCTTGTCTTGTCACAGTTAGCACTTGCTCTAACCACTTCTGCATCAACCTGAGCTTTAAAATAATTGTCTATTTTTTTGTTTTTAACCAAACCATTTTTCTTGGGAATGATCTGTTTGGATGTCACCACTTTTTCTGTTTGTGCATTAGTATTTTGGTTACTCTTGTAAGCCAGAAGGATTTCAACTTGTAGGTCAGCAGGGAGAGAACTAAAAACTTCTTTATCAATGCCACTGGGTAGTACTAGAGGTGCATGCTTTTTCAGTGTCACAGAGTCTGCTTCGTCATCACTGACTGGCAATTCGGGATTATTACAATTCTTTGATGTCAAGTCTTTTCTCATACTTCCAACATAAACACTTTGATTACCCTTATCTGCCATCAGTTCTGTCGAATTTTTACAGGTTTCAAATGAAGATCTATTTTCAAATGAATCGTTATAATTTTCAATAGAACCAATCTTTTCACTTGATTTCATTTGAATAGTTTCCATATCTACCATTTGTTCAGAGGTACATGGTTGACACAGTTTGATACGTTTCATATCAGTATCATCATCTTTGCCTTGCGCTGCATTTTGCTCTCGAGAGCGCTTTGAGAAAAAACTACCAATTGTTTGGGTATCTTGTGCCCGTTCAATAAATTTGTTGAATCCAACCCCAACAAGGGTAAGATGAAATTCCTTACTTGTATTAACCATTTTATGAAACAGTCCCATGATTATATTCATTAAGATTGATTTGATATTGTCACTTACATTTATAACACCCGTTGAAAACAGAGATGATGAAATTGGGGCTTGTTTTGTTTCTCTGTGTCCAAACCTTTTAGCAGCATCAAATTTACGAACCAAAACTCTAATTGAAGCTGGAACACGGCCATCATCTGCAAGAAGTTTAAGGAGCCTTTCCAATAAGGTGTAATATTTATCTCTGACTTCTCCAACAGAAGTTACTTTTCGAACGGCATCTTCAATTCCAATGCTCTGTGGTCGCCCACTCTTTTTCACAATTGTTGCATCTAATCCGAAACTTAAATCTTTAAATCTTTTGCTTGTTTCATAATCAAATTTGGATGTTAACACTTCAAATGTTGAGTTCTGAAGTTGCTGTACAGATGATATCCCCAGTTCCTCGAGTACTCTGCTAGTAGCATATCCAATACCTGGTATGCTCTTAGCTAAATGCAAAGAATTCATAAAATCCTGAACTTGCCAAGGAAATAACACAGTCTGTTGGTTGGGCTTGTGGTAGCCAGAAATAAGTTTGGCAAGTAATTTGTTATGGGCTATCCCGGCGCAACAAGTGATGCCTGTTGTTGCAAATATCTGCTGTCGCAACTCTTTCGCTATATAAGTACCAGAAATTAATCTTTCCTGACATCCACACCCGCATCGGCTTTGAAAGAAAACTTGATTTGGCTCTTTGTCACCATACACATGGCCTTCAATTTCATCCTTTTCAGCACACGAGTAATTTTGCACAATATCTGTTACATCAATAAAATTTTCATCGAGACCAAGTCTTTCTACATGAGGTGAGAATGTCTGGGCAATTGCAGAGATATCCGAAGAAAACTTACGGTAGGGAGTAAGATCGGAACCATCAATCAAGATCAAACTGGGCAAAAATTCTAACGCATCCTTGACCCACATAGACTTCTTCACCCCAAGAGACCGGGCTACATAGTTACAAGTAACCATTAGGTTTTTCTGCTTAATCCCAAGAGGCTTGTCTCTTAAACTGGGGTTACGAACCATCTCTACCTGGGCATAAAAACAATCAACATCTATATGCAGGATTGTTCTTCGGTGATGCTCTGGAAGAATAGGCCACAACTCCTGATCACCATATTCATCGTTAATCTGGAAAGAATGATGAGTTATTACAAATTTTATTGCAGCTTTACAAAAAAAAAAGAGAGAATAAAAATTTTGTAAATAGAGCTACAAAAAGTATGTACTTCAAATATATTTTATGTTCTAAATAATCAACTGCAGAAAAGAAAATCAAATACAAACAAAATTAAACTTAGATCAATTAAAATTGCAGCCAATCAAAGGAAACATCCCCACTCCTATACCAGGAAGGGAACTATCAGGGGAAAAGCACCAAGCCATTACGACTATATAGCACTTAGAAGGCTTCAGGATAAGGATTTGGGACGGGACAGTGGGGAAGGAATGGTGCCCAACCACTTGGACGGTCGGGGATTGAATGCTAACCTGCATAAAGCGTGACCGTCACTGTACTGTCCAGCCTAAGTGGTTGGATACCAGGAGTATCTCTCAATATAAAAAATTGAAACTGCAGAACGCCTACTACTACTACTATTCTTAAAAATATATAATCACCGTGCCATCTTAACAAGAGCATTTTGGGATATGGACATTAAGAGAGAATGACAGTGGGTAGTTATGGTGAGTGAGTGAAGAGAGTTTATGATTTTGAGTATGATTGGGGTTATGGTGGAGTCTTATGAGTGGAGGTTGTGTTTGCACTAAAAACTGACAACAACCCAATACCCACTCATATGTTTGAAGCAGAAAAGAATGAGTTAAGGGAGTTCTCCATTACACAATAATCAGGAAAATCAACAACAAATTCAAAGATACAAATGTCTAGATGTGGATAGAATTCAGACCAAAATTGTAAAAGCTGACTAATGAACTGTGCCATTTAAACTATTATACAAATAAAACTAAACCAAAGTCCCTCAAGACTGGAAATATGCAAAAGTCACTACCTTCAAGAAAGGCATAAGAAGTGAAGCAGAACCCAATAGACCAATTAGCCTAACCTCACACATCTGCACGTTCTTGGAGAATTCTAAGGGGAATAAATCGCCCACCATTTCTCAATGCACAATCTTTTAAAACCAACAAATTATTTTCCTGAAAGCAATTACTGCCTAACAAACCTGAAATTTCTGGAAACAGTAAAGTTTAAATTGAAGCAATACTAAATTGACTGGCCCAGAAACACATGTGATACCTTATTTCTCATTTAGTACAATATTAATGTTATTGCACTATACAGTATCTATTCAAATTTTAACCAAATTATTTTGTTTTGCCTGAAACGCTTTGCATATTAGTGGCTTCAGGTGATATGAGACGTGGCCAAACCTACATGTTCTGTGTGGTGGGATCAAACCCAGTATCTATTCAAATTTTAACCAAATTATTTTGTTTTGCCTGAAATGCTTTGCATATTAGTGGCTTTATTTAATATGCAACAGTACAGTACTTTGTACAGTACTTTCAAATACAGTATACCTCTGTATTATGTTCATATGTATGCATATTTTATGAATAAAATATTATTGTTACAAGCACAGACGATGAAAGTAGTCATCTTAAATGAGGAGAATCTGAATGTGAAACAATGCAATTCAAGAGAGTAAGTCAGTTTTCTTTGCCAAAAAATGTCCATAGATTATTCTTGCATGGCTGGTAAGTAACTAGCCTAATAAATAATATGGATTATGTCATTCCATACCTGATCCATTTCTTTGCTGTGTCATCACATACATTATTTGTGAGTTTTCTCATAGCAAATGATAAAACATGTTTTGGCTTACTGTATTTAAACACAAATAATAAACGGTTTCCTACTGTCAGAGACAGGAAGCCAATTATGACTACTCAGGTCCCCTTAGGCCACTGACCGACCTTCCCCAAGATGCAACTCCCAGTCACTTATTTACTGTTCGATGAACAAAGCTTCAGGTGATATGAGACGTGGCCAAACCTACATGTTCTGTGTGGTGGAAGAATCTTTCCAGAATCTTTCAGTGGCCAACTGTGCTGTAAGATTATATAATAATATCACAAGTAATTACTCATCTTAATTAAGATTATTCTGATACATATTCTGACTCACAACAGTACAGTGTTGTACTTGAAAACTGCTCGATGAAACTCTTAAAACATAACACAAATGGGAATGCCAATGAGTCTGCATGGAATATCTAAAACATTACAACTACTGGTATACAGTACATGTAATAATGCATTTGTTAAATAATGTTGTATAATAATTATGTCAACAGTGTATCTCCAGTAATAGTACCAAGAGTTGGAACTAATTCCTTTAAAAAACAACAAAACAATTAAACAGCACACATACCTAGGCTAATTATCTCTCTGACCCTTCAACTCCTTTACCCTCTTGCGTTTCTCCTTTCGTTTAAGGTATTTATCAACTTTATTTTCTTTCTTCAATTGTTCAAATTGCGCAGCCTTGATCAAGAGCTTTCGGTCCTTGTTGGTTATGAACTTTGGCTTCCTCCCTTGCTTGAGAGCCTCCTTCTGTTGCTGTCTCTCATTCTTCATAATCTCCATTTCCTGGTCTCTTTTTGCTTGCTCAATTTCTTGATTCTCCATGCGCTGTATGATAGACTTTAGCTTTTGCTTCTTAAATGGGTCCTCCTCAGCCTTAAGTTCTTTTTTCAATATTTCCTTCTCTTTTCTTCTCGTTTCTCTAAGGAATCCATAATTATCTTTCCACACCCTTACATTTAGCTTTCCCGACAGATCGTCAAATCTTGGATCCCTAGTAGGCTTACGTTTGATTTTTTGCCTAGGGTCAAGGGACCTGATGCGCGGTGCAGCTCTCCGCATCATGGGTACTTCTGATGGTCGGTTCTTGTTGGCACGCTTGAACTTCTTGCATTTAGACTCCCCTGTGTCCTCTTTGCCCTTCCAGTCTTCACTTGGGGATGGCTGCTGATGCCCTACGAGGACCTTCCGTTTGAATTCCTTCGTGCCCATTTTTTCCTGAAGTTTAAGAAGTTCTTCCATGGTCATTTCACTGTAGTTTGACTTGGTACCATCTGCGTCCTCATCACTACCTGACTCGGTGCCACCTGCGTCCTCATCACCACCTGACTCGTTGTCACTCTCTGAGGACTCCTCCTCCTCACTCTCATTGGGGTATTGTATGTGCGAACTCATTTTGCAAGACTTGAAAGCGATTATTATTTTTTTCAGGTGGCGTAACTGCGTCCAAACTTTGTCTTCTCTCTAAGTCCAGCAAGAGCTAAAATGTTCTCTAAAACTGCGATAAATCTGAGAAATAATGCAGAAGACCTCACTCAACACGTGTTTACGGACAACGCGTAAACAAACATCAGCTGACTGGTAAATACTCGACAGAGATAAATTTACAATAACATCTCGAGAAAACCTGCCATATTTATATTTACGAGTGAATTTAATACTAAAATCCCCGTACCTCGTCGTCTAATGTATCCATTTTTGTCTTGATGTTCTGCCGCTAGTATTTGGTAGTGGAGAACGAGTGCAAAACTAAATGTAATTTTATTTTGGAAATAGTGCCTAGCTATAAGATAAAAAAAAATATATAATCAATACTAAATAAAATATGTTTTTAAATCCATTTTTATACGCCCAAAAAGCCTAACAAGAAAAGTAGTTCTAAGAATGATTCGTAAATATATGCAACGCTTTACTTTTTATTACCGTAGTTGACCTAACATGAAACAAAGATTACTTGCATCAAGTTATCTACGTGAAATAATATGAGTTTTAATTTTTGTTATGCAGTGAGAGGATGACGGAGTTCTGAAAACCTAAAGTGTTCCTTTTGGCATTCAGTGTTGCCAGTTTGGGCTACAAATAGCGAATTGGGCTACTTTTGAGAGCCCCGCGCTCCCAAATTTTTAATTTCGCTACTTGCTACTTTTTGAGCTAATTTAAAAGCAAGATGTGCTAATTTGGGATATTAATGTTAAGAAACTCCATTATGATTATTTAGGATCAGATGTAACACAAACAAGCACCCCGCGATAGCAGCCACAGATGACGATTTAAATGCGAGCACAGCACGCAGAATTTCAATTTCAATTTCTTCTTTATTATGCACCCCATACCCATCCCGTGGGCGGTGGTGTAAAGGATTACAGAGGCACATAATCGGTTCAGGAACTGAACCCTCTAGTTCGTTTAGCTAAGCAAATAACAATGTTTGACGCTAGTTACAAAATTATCAATGTTGTATACACATGTACACACCCTCATACATACATGTACATATATATATACGTATACACATATAGCACGCAGAGTATATCCTTTCACGAAGATCACATTCACTCCAAAAAAAATCTACTTACGGGCTATTCATGCCCGTGTCACCTTTTAGATAGCTTAATCTTTAGCAACCAATTAATCACTTGACTGGCCAGTTTTTGAGTAGACTCCTATTACATTTACTGTGTGATAGTTATACTTATATATAATAATTTGTATTAAGGGTAAACGCCTAACATGTAATATTAATTAATAAAAACACAAGCCTATCTTCACATGTCTATTGTGTAAAAGTAAAGTTGACGTAAAAAGTATAAGTAAAGTTAAAGTTGTGTTCCTCTGTCCGAAACGCTACGTGTGTTAGTGGTTTTACAAGAATGTATAAATTAACATCAATGCATCAATGCTATGTACTCTCATAAACCCATTGTACCTTCTTGTATATATATAAATAAATAAATAAAGTATTTTATAGAGTATTTTGGGCGCTCATGTACTTGTGCGCTAGCTGGCGTTCACATCTTCAAGGACTAGAGTTAGTCAATCATAATGATTATAATGTGTATTTATTTAGGGGGAATAAATTTCTGGGCACACTGATTAATAATGGGCATCATTAATAATCGTAATATTATATCAATTCATTTTTTGTTGCATTAAAAATATAAAATACGAATCAACAACGTTTCACTCGGTGATACCTGAGTTTACCCGAGTATACCTGAGTTTACCTGAGAGCCACTAACACTAGTGGCCTCGACGAGGACAAGAAGCCGATGGCTTGTCGAAGGTCCCCCTATTTGCCTTGGTGATCTTTTCCAGCTGTACTTTAAAAGTTAACACGGTTTTGGCATTTACGGCTTCGGCGGGTAGGCGGTTCCATGGGTTAATAACCCTGTGGGTGAAAAAGCATCGCCTGTTGTCAGTCCTACATTTGTGGCTTGTTGAGTTTGAGACCGTTGCTCCTTGTTTGTGTTACATCTGACCTTCTGAAGAAATTATCCGCACCAACCCCTCATTCTTATTAGCCTTGACTACTTCACTATTTGACTTGTTATATGATGAGTTTATTAGATACGACTCCTCCCTCTGGCATTCACTTAGCAACCATTCCACTTCTGGTAGTGGCCTTAGTATACATGGCTTAATTAACTTCTGTGACTCATTTAACCCATAATTAACTAAGACTATGATTATTGTTTACTTAAGGATTAAATTCACACTTCACAAATGTGTGCAGTGTGATTGACAAATGTGTCAATCAATCATCGGGAAGAATGTACGATTGCGAGTTACATGAAAATAACTAAGCTATAAATAATTGTAATTAATATTAATTGTAAATATTAATTAATACTAAATAATATTATTTAATAAATTGGTCTCAATTCAATGCTGAGTTTTCTTCCAAGCACAGAAACTTGTAAATATAAATATAAGATAATAGATAGATCGATAAATAAATAGCCAACTTTCAAATATTGAACCAAGTAATGACGAGAGGAAAAAACTAGACAGTATACATTACATTTGAAATTAATAATGGATGAATGGTAATAAATTGGTGTATGTTTGTATGTATACCAGACAAAGTCTGGTATACATACAAACATATATATATATATGGTATACATATATATATATATATATATATATATATATATATATATATATATATATATATATATATATATATATATATATATATGTGTGTGTGTGTGTCGTACCTAGTAGCCAGAACGCACTTCTCAGCCTACTATGCAAGTCCCGATTTGCCTAATAAGCCAAGTTTTCCTGAATTGAATTGAAATTGAAATTGAAATAAGTTTATTGAGGTAAAATACACACAAAGGGATGAGGTAGCTCAAGCTATTCTCACCCCGTTCAGTACAATGTGTTAGTACATACATAGACACACATCACAAACAATAAGCCTGTTACCAAACATTCTGAGAGATAAACATGTACATTTCCTCCTTCACAAGTGGTATGGTATCAGACGTACACAAATACTTTTATGACCTAGTTATACGGATAATTCAACAAAATATCACGGATAATTCAACAAAATATTACAGTCTTGGTGCAAAATTCTTATATCTCACAAGAATATCATCAACCTTTCCTTTGTGACACATCCAGGCTATTTGCTCAGGAACAGTCCTTATCTCAGTGTTTCTATATACATTAATCAACGGACAATCAAGAACATAATGGGCAAGGGTGTGAGACCTTAACATACCACATAGTTTACACTTCGTGTCATTATCATGAACGCCTATCCCATATTCCCAGTAATATTTGTACCCAAGCCTGAGCCGCATGTACACAGAGTCACTCCAAGCATTTCTCCTTTTACCATAAGTGAAAAGGGTGTTTTGACTCACATACATGTAGTGTTGCATGGTTAGACTTCTCTCATACATTATCCCTCTCCTCTCCACTCCTGCCTGTGCCTGAATATTTCTGATTTTGCTTCTTATTTGTCTCATTGTGAATTCACATTCAATGTCAATTTGTGGTTTTGATGTGGCACGTTTGGCCAAGTCATCCGCCACCTCGTTGAGCACTATTCCAACATGAGATGGAATCCACATGAATTTCACACTATGACCTTTCAGCTGTATCTCAGCTATTCTTCTCTTACAATCCTCAACTATAGACATGAAGACTGGGTTTCGACTGTTTAAGGACTCCAGTGCTCCTCGGCTATCGACAAATACAAAAACATTTTTGTCGTCATGACGTACTTCCTCCAAACACGCCAGAATGGCCTGCAGTTCAGCTTGTGTGGATGATATATAATTACTAAGCCGGAGTTCAATTTTCCTGTCCACAGTCCCAAACTCCGTATATTCCCTTATTAGGACACCACACCTGAATTAATATATTTTCTCTAATTTTTTTCTTATGAAATGATAAAGCTACCCATTTCATTATATATGAGATCAATTTTTTTTTATTGAAGTTAAAATTAACGTAGATATATGACCGAACCTAACCAACCTTACCTAACCTAACCTAACCTATCTTTACAGGTTAGGTTAGGTTAGGTAGCAGAAAAAGTTAGGTTAGGTTAGGTTAGGTAAGTTAGGTAGTCGAAAAACAATTAATTCATGAAAACTTGGCTTATTAGGCAAATCGGGCCTTGCATAGTAGGCTGAGAAGTGCGTTCTGGCTACTAGGTACGACATATATATATATATATATATATATATATATATATATATATATATATATATATATATATATATATATATATATATATATATATATATATATATATATATAATATGTGTGTGTGTATGTGCAGAAATAATATTAATAAAACAATTAACATCGTGTAGTGTACTCTATATATCAAAATATATTACTTTAGTTAGTTTTTTTTAGCTTAGTTCATTTATTATGCACCCCATACCCATCTTGTGGGCGGTAGTGGAAAGGGTTACAGAGGCACATAATGGGCTCAGGGACTGAACCCCACAATTCATTTAGCTAAGCAAGTCACAATCTTGATGAGCTAGTTACAAAATTCAATATAAGTCGTCACATCAACAATGGGTTCGAGATCGACCTCAAGTACAGTTTCTAAATTAAGCAACTGACATATGAGGAGAGCTAGTGATATGTTTGATATGTTTGTCCTGAACACCGCCCCCCATTCAGTGGGCAGCGGTGGATAGGTTACAATCACTCAGTTACTACCTACAGTTAGCAAACTGGGGATGTTTGGCTAAAATTTCTGGTAGCAGATCATTTTGAATGAAATATTTACACATCGCTGGAACATTGGTTATAGAATTGTCTCTAAATTCACGTATCTTTTCGCACTCCATCACATAGTGACGGAGGGTGTGCGAATAATTTTGTTGACACAGTTTACATTTGGTCAGGTCTACATCGGCAGATAATGAGAATTCCCAGAGATACTTGTAACCGAGTCTAAGCCGAGCAGTAGTAACATCTAGAAGTCTGCTGATTTTATTGGATGATCCATAGATGTGTGGCTCCTCTTGCATGATAGTATGATGATAGATGGAATTACTGGTGTCAATTTCACTTTGCCTCAGATCTACAAGATCTTGTTGAAGTTCTCGGTGTACTGCTGCTCTCAGATTGCTCATTGACAATCCAAGGTTACACTCAACGACTCCTTTAAAGGCAGATTCTTTGGCTAACTGATCAGCTCTATCATGCATTCGGAGGCCAACATGAGATGGAGACCACATGAAATGGACTCTGTTCCCATCCTTAATAATTTTGTTGTATTTGTGTCTAGCTTCGGACACGAGCATGTTACAGTTATGTCTTGAAGAGTTGAGAGCATTTAAGGATGATAAGGAGTCACTTACAATTAATGTATCAAGTTTGGAGACTTGTACACATTTCAGTGCAAGGATCAAGGCAAATAGTTCGGTCTGAATGGTAGAGACCCAATTGTTTATACGGACTCCCCACTCAAAGTACAAGCCATCGCCCATTGTCAGAACAACTGCACTTCCAGCTGCACCCGTGGTGCGGTGTAGGGAACCATCAGTGTATATGATTTGAGAGAGAGAATGCTCTGTGGACAGAGCATCAATATGGCTTAAGGCGTTGAGCTTTGCCTCAAGACGAAGCTTGGGCTGATCTCTAATTTGCTTCTTGGGTGAAAAGGGAGGGATTAAAACTGGAAAGGGTATATTACTTTGAAACCCATATATATCATTCACTAAAAAAAAATTGGGCTAGTCTTATTACAAAGTCGCTACTTTTAGGCCGCCAGCTCGCTACTTTCCACAACTTGGATCTGGCAACCCTGCTACTGGCATTGTTGTCATTTGAATGTTGTGGTTGGTGAGTGTGGCGCCGGGGCTCGTGGCTGTGATCTGCTCTACCTGCTGCCTGACCTGACCTAACCTGACCTTCACCACACTCAACATGTCGTCGACGCTCAGCTTCGCTGGCCAGAACAACAAGTGGAACACAGCTGATGATGGTACATTGGTCCTGGTCGTGTTGGGGTGCTCGCAGGCTGGCAACGGATTGTCACCACTCTAAAGCAAAATAATTTGTTTAGTTGCGGATACATGTACATATACATTGTATATGTATACATTTATATATATATATATATATATATATATATATTTATATATATATATATATATATATATATATATATATATATATATATATATATATATATATATATTTATATCGATATATCGATACATCAGGTTTGTATCGAAGTCCCACCCAATGGTCAAACTACTGAACTTCTCTGGGATCTTCTGTAATAGTTGCCTGAGTCCCAGGTCACTATTTACTGCTAGATGAATAGAGGCATAAGATAAAAGGAAACATGCCCAGTCATTTCTGTCCCGCCTGGGATTCGAATCCGGGATCCCCATTTGCGAGTTGAGAATGCAGCCACTGTACTACAGACACGTAGGCAGAAACGGCTTATCTAATTGGGAGTAAAGGAGCACGAGAATACCAGATCAAAGCTGGAAATGCAAATGTGTCAAAATATAAGAAAATACTTGCATGAACAAATCCACAAGGGCCGTGATGAGGGTTCGAACCCATGTTCGAGAGGATCCCAGATGTGCCTTAATCGACTGAGCCACAACATGGTTAAAAGAATTGCAACCAGGAGTTCTACTGACCTCACACAGATCCTGCAGTCTCTCCAAGACAAAAACCAGGGTTTTACACAAATATACATATATACAGTAGTCTTACTGTAAGAAGTGGAAGCTCTCGGATGTTAAAAAGTTTATAATTATATCTGGTACAAATACAGTTTTAGAATAAACGGACATAGGTTTGAACCCTCATTACAGCCCTTGTGGATTTGTTCATTTGATGCATCACACTATTGTGATTTCTGTGTGTAATGAAGTAAGGGCGAAAAGGTAGAATAGCTTGTTGACAGAGCACGGGTGCATTGAGGAATTGTGTAAAACCCTGGTTTGTGTCTCATAGAGGCTGCAGGATCCGTGTTACGTCAGTAGAAATCCTGGTTGCAATTCTTTTAACTATGTCGTTAAAAGACGTACTAATGCACAGTTGATTAAGGCGCGTTTGGGATCCTCTCGGATGTAGGTTCGAACCCTCGTCACGGCCCTTGTGCATTTGTTCATTTGATGCATCACGCTGTTGTGATTTCTGTGTGTAAAATACTTGTATGCTGTGTACCTACACAGGTGGTCAACAAGTGGAATGTACTATAAGAAGTGGAAGCTCTTGGATGTTAAGAAGTTTATAATTATACATGGTACAAATACAGTTTTAGAATACAGGTAAATACAATAGCCAAAAGGCATGGTCCAGCGAGCTAGAGCTCACACTCTGTAAACACTGATACTGTAGATAACCACACTCCAACCCCCACCTACACTACAACCCACAGAGAGAGAGAGAGAGAGAGAGAGAGAGAGAGAGAGAGGGGGGGGGGAGAGGGGAGAAAGAGAGAGAGAGAGAATAACTTAAGTGTAATTTTAAGAATAATGTACTTTATATTGTTTGTATTGTGACAGTGCTATAGTCATAATGGCTAAATTTTGTCCTTGATAATTACTTGACTCAAGACATGGTCAGGATTTGTACTTTTGTTTTGTGTTCTATGATACAGTAACTGTACTGTATTGTGTGTGCTGCACAGTATTGCATACCAGAGTTACCTCTCTCAGTTTATTAGTATTGAAAAATATTTAGCTATGTAGATAATTTCCAGATTTACTTGGCAACAGACCTAAATGGAAGTGGGCTTGTTAACATTGGAACTGATTATTATGGATCTAGCATCGGTGAGGTTAGAGAACAATTAATGGTTAAAAATGTCCATAGGCAAAGTTTGCATGGCTAGTATTGTATGTTTGAGTCATTTATCTTTTTTTGTCTGTATAAATGATAAATTAGATGTTAAGCTTTAATGCCTGAGATCGTTACAAATGTAACTTTGCTCCACAGTTAAAGAGGCAGCTGAAGCCATCCAGAATGCGAAGAATTTACAATGTTTGGAGCTGGAAGCCAATACTCTTGGTGTGGAGGCAGCACAGGTGATGGGGGATGCCCTTGCAGGTCATCCAGAGTTTGAGCGTGCACACTGGAAAGATCTCTTCACTGGCAGGTTGAAAACAGAGATTCCAGATGCATTGGTGAGTTAGTTCCACAAAGATTATTGGAAGAGTATATAGCTTTTTATAATTTATTGTGTTGGGGGATAGGCAGCCAGTGTATACATACATGTTAGGCTCTTATTGAGGTTGGTTATAACCCTTGGGGTTATTCATCCCCCAGGATTGAATTACTGACTCTCCCCCCGGATGCAACCCCACATGAAGCTGACTAATTCCTGGGGGTACCTATTTACTGGTAAGTGAATAGGTACCCCCAGGTACCTATTTACAATGCAAATAATTGTACCTCATTACAATGCAAATAAGTCATTTGCATTGTAATATTAGGTACAGAGTAATAGGAAATGCGCCCAACTATTTTTGTCCCACCCGGGATTCAAACCTGGAATTCCTGATTCTGAGTCAGGAACGAACCCAACTGTGCTACCGAGATTAAAACCTTAATCCAAAGTTTGATACAAATATACAGTACTGTAGGTAAACTGGCTAAGATAATTGTGCCCAGTTTTTTTTAATGCATATGATTTTGTCAGATTTGGTTAACTTGAGTAAATTTAAGTGATGTATTAGTTGTTAAAGTTTAAAATATTCTATATCTGTACAGTATAAAGTTTTCTATAATGGATATAGGTTCTGAAATTAATACAAAACAATTCTTTCCTGATTGGAGATTTATACCTTAAGAGCTATGCCTGTCACTAACTCCAGGGTTTGTTTCATCCACCGTGGAATACATTCTTTGCAGTTGTAATAACTCTGAAGGCTCTTCTATCTTCTGAAAATGTTTTCTCATCCTAAACACAGGCTGTACTGAATGGTGGATAATATTGATGCAAAACATCATGGGTGTAAAATATATGCATGAGGAAACCGTGTCAAGAATATAACTCCATTTGGCCCCCAAAAATTTTTGTGGCAGATGGCCTCAACTTATGCTGACAACTATAATCTTATTTCCTACACATTTTCTTTATTAGTTTCCTGAATTCAATTACTGTATATTCAGTGTGAATTATTTGCCTCTAGTAGCGTGCCTCTTGTAATATGACACATGTATTCTAAAGAAAATGGTTTTTACAATTGTGCACTAGTTTGCAATAGCTTCAAGTGCCCCCCCCTCCTTTCCTCCACCTCACTCTGCTGCCACCTCACCCTTCCCCACCTCACCCACATATGCCTTCCCACCTACCTCTCTACAGCTCTCCCACTTATCTTGTCTGCACCAAAACACCCTCCCATCCACCTACCCAAACCTACAAAACTACACTTTTCTGTCTACCCACCCACCTGTCACATACCCTAACCCCATAAAAAACACCCAAACTCATATATTTCTTTGGCCTTTTTTGCTTTTGTATTGTAGTCACACTATTGTATTGGGAGATATTCCTGGCATAGGGAACAGTGATTTCTTCATGGATTGGTTGGGATCAAAACATTTAGTTTCTACATACTGTTCTGTTTTGTATTTTGTTAATGTATTTTCTGCACGTTCACATAACAATTGTGTTTCTTCCAGCGGCACCTCTTTTCTGGCTTAATGCGTGCAGGGGCAAAGTTAAAGGAATTGGACTTAAGTGACAATGCCTTGGGACCAGTTGGTGTGGAGGGGATGGTGGAGTTCATGAGTTCTCCTGTCTGCTATTCCTTGGAGGTGAGTTGACGGGTTTCTCACATGATGTGGTTATCTTGTACAGTATGTGGATGCCTTGAGCAACCTTAAATATTGCAATTTATATTTACTTTATTTTTCATTTGCATTGTAATATTCCTTCTTGTGATGTAAGACTGAATTATCTCTGCAACCCCCTCATGTTGATAATGCATATGCAACCCTCTATTTTCTTTATTCAATTGCACTTTTAGATTTTATTTATTTATATTTTTTTATCACTAAAATAACTAAAATTATTACTAAATTAAATTACTAAATCATTACTAAAATTATTGTAATTTTTTTACAATGATCACTTTCTTACAATCACTTTCTTGACAGGAACATATTTCTTATCTCTTCATAATTTAGCCATATTTTATTTTCATGAATGTGAAGTATATATTGAGTGCATGTGACCTTTTATCTTGTGTAAGTGGTTTTTAGCTGATTGGGTTGCCCATCAGGAGGCTTGGGATGTGGACCGAGCCATAAGCCAGGTGAAGACTTTGAAACAATCTCAAGAGATCTACACTGCTAGAGTGTGGCTTTATTCTCTTGGTTGTTGCTTTGCTGGATCCTGCCTTCATTACTCTCATTATCTCTACAAGACCTACAATCATTCTTATTGAAACATTGGAATTAATCCTGCATTTCAACCATTTGTTCGCCATTGGTAATCTTTCTTGTGATCTGCTTATTCACCTTATTCCCTTAACTGTTTTATTGTGTAGCATCACATTTCCTATCTAAAATGTACATTTTGTTTAACCTCTTGACAAACTTCTTTACTTCCTCAACTACAAGTCACTTTATGATCATAGTATTGTTCCTAACTATTTGAGTTGGTTATTTGCATGTTGTTGGCATTTGAGTGTGTGCTGTGATTTTCCTTGCCATGTGTAAAGGATTTGGTCTTATGCAGGAGCTGCGGTTAAACAACAATGGACTCGGTATAAAGGGAGGAACGATGTTGGCTGAATCTTTAATGAAGCTAGTAGAAAATGCCAAGGCAGCTGGTACTCCCCTCAAACTCAAGGTATGATCTCACATTGGGAATTACAGTTACAGGTTGTCTTGTACATGTATTTTGAATTTAAGTAGTTCAGGTGTTTACTCCTACTGATTAGATTTTGAGGAATATATATATATTTGCAACATTACCCATCAAAAAGAAACATTTGGCAGTAAGTGCACTATTCTTGCATAACTATTTATAAAATCTTTATAACTGCATTGTTTCTTGACATTGAAGTTGACTTAGTTATGTATCTGCCATCAGAAAACCTCATCATGAGGCAAAGATAAAATCCCAGTATGTGTGGTTTGGATACAACTGGTTATAGTAGCACTAAGACTGATACTTCAAGTTTGTTACTTAAAACTCCTTTTACAGGTATTCATCTCGGGGCGCAACAGGCTGGAGAAAGAGGGTGCAAAGGTATTTGCAGAATTTTTTAAAGCAGTGGGGACCCTAGAGGAGGTAGCCATGCCTCAGAATGGTATTTTCCATGAAGGCATTGCTGCTTTGGCTGAAGCCTTCAGCATGAATTCAAATCTGAGAATTATCAACTTGAATGATAAGTAAGTGTATATACAGTACATATTTATATTTATAAGATCACATTTAGAAATTCTGTGTACTTTGGAAATAACATTACAAGTGAAACAAACTTAATGCTTATCTTTAAATTGTAGTTGTTCATTAAGATTATTAAAGTACAGATTTTGTTTTCTGCATTAATTGTAAATTAACATTTATACAGTCTGAAACAAGACTAAGAATGCCATATATATTTAACATGAAACAAATGTTTTTGCAATTCAAATATTCCACATGTGATGAGATTAATTTCCTCCCTCAGCACGTTTACTCATAAAGGGGCTCGAGCAATGGCAGACAAGCTGCCGTTCATGCAAAACCTTGAGGTGATAAACTTTGGGGACTGTCTTATCAAAACTGCTGGAGCAAAGTTCATTGGCAGTGCCCTTTCTTCTGATCATTCAAATTTAAAGGTAATTTGAACATGGTTGGTTAATCTCTATCATTACCATTTGTGAGGAGCATTGTGTGTAGTTGACCAGACCACACTAGAAGGTGAAGGGACGACGACGTTTCGGTCCGTCCTGGACCATTCTCAAGTCGATTGTGTGTGTAGTTTTATGAAACTGGGGAAAGTGGGGGGGGGGGTTGTTGCTGTTGATAGTTTGCTAGAGTAAGGTGGCACTGTACTTGCTTCTCCATTAAGTCACTGTATGATATGGTGAATGTACCAGTGCTTTCCTGAGTCAGCACCAGTATCCCAGTAGAACATCAGAGAACATTGTACAAACATCAGAGGTCCCGGTTGTTCAACATCCTCCCAGCGAGTATAAGAAATATTGCCGGAACAACTGTGGGCATCTTTAAGAGAAAATTAGATCATTTTCTTCAAGAAGTGCCGGACCAACTGGGCTGTGGTGGATATGTGAGCCTGTGGGCTGCTCCAAGCAACAGCCTGTTGGATCAAGCTCTCACAAGTCAAACCTGACCTCGGGCCGGGCTTGGGGAGTAGAAGAACCCCCAGAACCCCATCAAGCAGGTAACACTGCTCACAAGCCGGGCTCTAGCTGACTTTTGCTGCATAATAACTAGGAATATTACTAATGGTGTTGCCTTGCCACATAGTTGGGGAGAGGAGACAGTAAAGAGATCTTCACTACTTCCGAGGGGAAGGACTTTGCCACCAAGAGCAGAGCAAACATTTTAATACCTCCTTATTCAGTATTTGATATTGAAGTGTCACTTAAAATATTTGAAGTAGAAATGCTCCAACTGATTAGGAATAAAGCAGTTGTCACTTATCATAGAGGTGCAGCAATGGCTGATATTGTGTTCATTGCTCTGGAGAGCACATGCATGAAACGAAAGTGAACAACACAGATAGAGAGAGGGAAGGCAGGAGAAGTTGTAATTTATTTGTTCATTAGTAATCACAGTGGTGGTGTGACTCAAGACAAAATTATTACAATAACACATTAAATGTTTCTACAATTACATACAGATCCTTATATTTATTTTGGATTAAAAAAAGTGATCTAAATTTGAGCTCCTTATATTTTATGATCAAGAAGAGATAAAAACATGACCTGATGTTTGGTTAGGTTTATAATTTGTTTGTAGTGAGATGAGTTTTGTTAATCCCTCATGGCTTTCAAACTTAGGCCATAAACCCTAAGTTCTACTAATATTCCACTGACTATAATAGATCAACTTTGGATCAAGGTTATTTACAGTACTCATCTATCTCTTCATCACTATTAATCAGAATTTTCAGTTAATTACTTTGAGAGCTGTAATGATATAATTATTGGTATTTAGAGCAAATGTTTGTCTTAAATTAGGACATTATTATATTGAATAATGTTCTTGTTTATTCTATTCTAGGAGCTATACTTGGACAGCAACGAAATTGGAATCGAGGGTGGCCTTGCCATTGCTAATGCCATGATAAACAAACAAAACCTGACAATGCTTAATTTGGATTGTAACCAGTTTGGTGAGTACATGTAATAATTGCAGTATTTCCTCGGAGGTGTCCACGACAGCAAACGGGAGAGTAGTGCACATCTACGTAACCATTTCTTTCCTCTATTGTATTGGTCTCTGATTTTGGCCGCCCCTGGACTATTTCTACACATTGCTAGACTCATTTGCTATTTTCTGTAATTCTGTGCCACTTTCTCCCATCAGTATTGAATCAATGGTAATAAAATGCAATAGTCACTCTTTTGATGAAACAAGTGAACATTTTAGTGACACCTTTAACACTTTCGCTCACCCCGCGCGCCACCCCTCGACAGGGCGATATGGGCCCCAGCGTGTCACGGAAGCGCGCGTTAATTCCGAAAAGTGTATACTCTCTTCAACTTTGTCACCTCAATTCTCCTTCTACGAGAATAAATTTGGTATCATTGTGTTCGCAATAAAATTCTCTACAGCACTAAATGCATATAAACTCCAAAAGCCCGGCTAATTACCCGCAGCAAACAGAGAAAGTGCGAACGAGTTACCCGGGAGCGCGCAAACGGGATAAAATGTTTTCACTATTTTCACTCTGGTCACCTCAATTTTTGTCCTAGGTCTTTCATTTTGGTCTCAATGGGTTCGTAATAAAATTCTCTAGAGGAACATTAGCATATAAAAAAAAACACCTGGTCACGCTCCAACCGCCGACGAGTTGAAGACGGGCCACGCGTTAGCCGTGAGTGAGCGCTCAGAGGCCTTCCTACTACACTCCCAATTCCCACCCTTTTCAAGCCTTTCTTTCGCAATTTTCTTCCTGGAAGGGCCTTGTTCATGATTACTATCCATCGTGGAGTAAGCGTAGATAGTTTCTAAAGCCGCAGTAAGAAATATAGCCACGGAAAATAGCCGAAATGTTCACACGTTTGAGATGCGAGGGGAGACGACATTGGTCACAACAGTGGAGCAAAGACAATGGGCCCACGGCGTGTGCCAAGCCGCCTGAGGGCCACGAGGCTCAACAAAGGAAATGGGAAGACATCGGCGCACATTTTAAAACCAGTCCCCAAAAAATCGGATACAAACCTGATTTTTGGCGAATTTTTAAAGTGGATGACGCAATGCTGCGTCATCCCCGGCATTACCGCCAGTAAACGGATGACGCAATGCTGCGTCATCCCCGAGCGAAAGTGTTAACATATGTATTATAGTGTTGAGGTTCTGAGCTAGAGAGAGATTGGTACTAGTAAAGTGGTATGACCTTTACTGCTTGTATGTTCTCTATTGTTTAGCTCTTCTTACATTGTTACTTCCATATTTCTTATATGGAATATAACAACTACTGTTATGTTCAAGCAGGTGTGTACAAGGTTGAGTTGATTGGTTTTAATATTTCTGAAATCCATCACGGGTTTAAGTTTTTGTGACTTGTTGACATGATAATCATTTGGCCGGCTGTTTACTTTTTTATTTTACCTATTGTAGGTGAAGAAGGGAGAGAGAATCTTGTGATTGTTCTTCAAGAAATGGGCTGCTTGGAAGCGCTTGCTACCTTGGAAAATGATGAAAACCCCGATAGTGATGAAGATGACAGTGAAGAATCGGGTGACGATGAGGATGAAAGTGATGAAGAGGAAGAGGAGGAGGAGGAGGAAGAGGAAGAAGAAATAGAAGAGGTGGTGGGCTCTGGAGTCAGCCCACTTAAACGTGCAGGAATTGAAGTGCAGCCTGTAAAAGTTTGTATATATTAGGAAAATAGGAACCGTGTTTAGTCTGTTAATAATTTTAATTTATAATTTTGATTATTGTGTCATGGATAATGAAACTACTGTATAATATCTTTCCCAATTTCTAGAATTAATTCCTAGCCAGTCTTATATGAATATTGTTACTCTGTCTTGTGACAGGAAAATGAGCCAAGATTTATTAGGAGTACTAATGTTAGGATGTTAATACTGTGTAGTAGTAGATGTAGCAAAGAGTTTTTATTTTAAATTGGTTGTTTTTGTCAACAGTGTACAGCAGCCGAGTTTTATGAGCAGCCGACAGCAGGACGACTGTTAGGGTTGGGGAATTCTGGTCCCTCCCAGTTGGTGGAAGAAGCTAGAAGAAGAGGAGCCGGGTCAGATGAAGATTTTATTTTCAACTGTTTTGGCTTGTTTATGCGAACTGCATCTGTAGGAACAACAAACAGTAGAGAGGTGGGTTATAATATCACATTCTCCATTCATTTTTGCTTATGCTAATAGTGCCATAGTTCTCTCTCGTGTCTCTAAATGTTATACTAGTTGACAGATTTTATTCATGTATATGCTTATTATATGTTTTCTCATCCTGTCATTATATATAATTCTTGAACACCCAAAATTACCTGTGCTCACCTAGTATCCGTGCACCTGTGCACTCGCCTGCGCAGCCAGTTATTATGTACGTCCATTTCCACCATTGAGGTTAATTCTCATTTTGTTCACAGGTGCAGGAAGCTGTGCAGAGAGCAGCAGAGCATTTAGCCAAAGCCATATTTACCAGTTGCCAGAATGGTGATTTATCATCTGTTGCTACAAATAATCTTCTTGTACACCTAGGCCTTATTAAATGCGAGGTAATGATCCTAGCTAATGTTTTACTATAAGCATGGTCATTCATCTTTCAGTTCAAACTTAAAATTTGCAATACAGTATACACAATTTTACTAATAGGGTAATATCATTAAAGTGTTTTTTTCTATGAAGTTTTCCACAGCTCTTTCCAATGAGGTGAAGATTTTATTTTGCTAAATTGTACATAAATAGTATGACCAAAGTAAAAATTAAGGTCTTCCATCTTGGAAATGCAGTGCTGTACTGGTCAAAATTGCATGTTTTAATTTTTCTTCATTAGAAATACCAATTTGTTTTGTATTCATGGTTACATAAAGGAAGAAAAGAACTTAATGTACATGAATGCATTTAAGCTATGCCCTTTTGAAGTGTTAAGTACAGTATAACCCTTAGTGCATACTGGGAATGAATATATAAATACTTGCCTTAGTGGGAGAGTCATGTATGATGAATGCCATCACTTGTATTTTGCCTTTGGGACATGGAAATAAATCCACGAAACTGCCTATTCTCCAAAGCGGTTAATGGTAAGATAGTACTGTACTAAAGTTAAAAATTTACCTGGAAAAAATCCACAGGAACAATGGTGGGGGGTGTTTATGACAAGCCACTGGCTTCCTGTCTCCATTGAGGCTACTATAGATGGTGGCCCTCAAATTTAGGTAAAGTACTTAACTCATGGAACCCCTCTTGCCAGTTCCCTCCATCCAGACTCTCTTTCTCTCACTGCAAACCTATTTTTCATATTAATTCTTTGTAATCCACATACACAAGGAATTCTCAGTACCATGATATATCGATGAGAAAATCATTGGAGCTGGATGGGAATCAATCCAGCATCCTGGGTAATCCCAGACGTGTCCATGGACAACAACATGCTAATGATTATGTAACGATTACTTGCCCTAATGATTTTATCACTTTCTTACCAATATTCCAGTTGCCTCAGCTGGGTTTTCTAACTTTTGACTCGGTCTTTTGACAGTAGATCATGTCGGTGAGACTTTGAGGTTGCTACTCGCAAAATCATCATGCTTGTATTGATTTTGGTTCTTTATCACAAGAACTTGTTAGCATTTACCATGCTCCTGTTGAGCCAACTTAGTGTGAGAATAGGGTTTTGAATGTCCTATCATCAAAGAGATTTTGTCTTGTTCCTTTACTGCTCTTTCTCTTAATGCTAGGTCACCGGGTGAGTAATTACCTAAGTGTAATTATAATTACCTAAGTGTAGTTACAGGATGAGAGCTACGCTCGTGGTGTCCCGTCTTCCCAGCACTCTTTGTCATATAACGCTTTGAAACTACTGACGGTCTTGGCCTCCACCACCTTCTCCCCTAACTTGTTCCAACCGTCTACCACTCTGTTTGCGAAAGTGAATTTTCTTATATTTCTTCGGCATCTGTGTTTAGCTAGTTTATATCTATGACCTCTTGTTCTTAACGTTCCAGGTCTCAAGAAATCTTCCCTATCGATTTTATCAATTCCTGTTACTATTTTGTATGTAGTGATCATATCACCTCTTTTTCTTCTGTCTTTTAGTTTTGGCATATTTAATGTGAGCTTCATGTGGTGCTTCATAGGAAGGTGTTTGGTCATGGAAACACATTTGTGTAGCTCTGTCCTTAACTAGTTTGTTAGGACCCCCACAGTGTGATTTGTTCATCTGGGGAATCCTCATAACCTTTGTCCAGTGACATAATCTCCGTAAGTGTTAGACTACCTCTCGTCGTGTGTAAACTGACAGTCTTGGCGCCCCTTTTTTGGTTCCTCCATCTTGTTTGTTTGTCTCCGATTCAATATGAAAAAACTAATCACATTGTCAATAGAACCATTCTGGCCTCGCCTCTTGTCTCCCGTTCTCTCTCCGCATTGTAGTGTTGTATTGTATTAGGAAGAATGTATCTGGGTACCTGTGATCGTCTTCACTGCTTCCTTGTTGTAGTGGATGGCAGGCTGGTCAGATTGGTACATGGATGAGTATGAAGCCTCACTGGTGATAAGTGAGGCTTCTGTAGGGCTATGAGTATTTATAGATGTGCCTTTGATGCGCATCTTTGACTGAATTAAGCTTTTCTCCAGTGCATTCTCTAAAACCTTATATGACTATGCAATGATATTTGAAAAAGTTCTCTTGTATCTGATTGTCATTCTGCCCAACTGTTCATGAATCCTGTCTGAAACAGCAGATTCTGACTATAAGGCAGAGCTCAAAAAGTTATTTATCAATTTGACTAATAAAAGCCCTGTTTCTGAAGGGGGTGGGGGAGGAATGAGAGGCCATTATGATTTATGATTCAGTTGTAGTCTGTAAGATTAAGGCTAAAATGGTGCTTATGGCATCAGTGTATCAGTGGGCTAAGTATTCTGAATCTAATCTTGAACATTTTATGAAATATGAGTACATGATGATAATTATTGCTCTAGGTTGTGTTACATTTTGCATGTTTATCCTAAGGCATGCTAAAGTCAGAATTTTATTTTTAAAATATCATAATAGTGCTGATATTCCCAAAATTGTTAGGTGAGGTTAACTAATTAGTAATTTCTTTACATTCAGGATAAAAAATTTAAGTTGGAATGGGATTTGAGAGGATGTCTTAAGATGTTGGCCAGTCTTGTGAGCCAGCCACTCTTCCCTGCTCAGACAAAGAGCACACTTCAGCTCTTCCTGTCCAGGTAAATTAAAATATAGTTGTATCCCAAGAAAATAGATTAGATGTATTGTGTATCCTTAGAGCGCAATAAATAGACAGTCTGAAAAAAAAGTGTGTATTAAGAGAATACAATATGAAGTGGAAACATAATGGAGATATGTAGGGTTTAAAAGTTGTAAACATCAAAATTGAAGAGAGCATATTGAGATGGTCATGTTGAATAAGTGAATGATGCAAACAATAAGTCACAATAACATGGCTGATAATTAGACACCCAATCCATACATCTGGATTGGGTGTCTAAAATGTCTAAAAAGTCATCAGAAAGCTGATGACTGGACCAGTCATACAACTTGATAATGGTCCAGGATGGACTGACACATCATCACTTTATTTTCCGATGTGTGGGTTGGGGGAAAGAAACGCTATGCAAAGATGTAAGGACATAGTGAAGGGAAGGGCATTTTCAGGGGAAAGCGCCAAGCCATTAGACTATATAGCACTGGAAGGGGGGTCGGGATAAGAATTTGGGATGGGACGGGGGAGACAGGAATGGTGCCCAATCACTTGGACGGTCGGGGATTGAAAGCCAACCTGCATGAAGCGAGGCAAAGTTGGATGGATAGTCGGATGTTGGACAAAGTATTTTATTTTAATTATTTTATTGTATAGCAGCAGAATGCATAAAATAATTACTTATAAAGCTGTGAGCTTATTGTACTGAAAAAAAAGTAAATTTGTCTATTTGATTTTATATATATACTTCAGAAATATAAGTTTCTAATAAACAATGGCAATTGCTTTTCAGACCAAATTCAAGAATAGACGAATGTGTACAGGAGAAGCACAAGCTGATGGTGGCATTGTTTAACTAACATAATGAAGCTTTAGAATGTCAATGATACTCAGGAAGAAACTTGATAGAAGACAAAACTTTTCTTGATTGTATTTGATGTATATAATGTTAAAGTTTCTTTGATGCCTTCATTTGTATGACTTGTTTACGTAATTTGTTTTTTGACGAATATCATTTCCTTCATTCAAGACAAATAAATTTCTTAAACACAGGGAGGGACAAGAGTAGATGTATGATACACTAGTCAGTCAGTCAGTGCTGGACATATTCTGGTTCAAGAGCTCTACTTTTTGATTGTTTACCTCATGCAGTACTTGTTTAAGATTTGTTACATCAGTATGTTGTAAAATTGTCAAGCACTCTTGTATTGAACATATTTTCTTTTGCATTAAGTTAGCTATTAAGATTTTATTACATTGTATAATAGATTTTCAAATACATATACTGTATGAGCAATGAATATTGTCAGCTTGTGCATAGATTTTGAGCTCGACAAGTATTAATATAATTGTCTGTAATAGTGCATTTGTGTTATGTTAGAGGAAATAGATGTGTGAACCTACCTAATGATAGCACAGGATTACTTCCATCACTCCTGCGTAATTAAATCCTGCTCATTGCTGTGCTTTCTTACAATATGCTTTCATAACTGTGATCTGAAATAAATCCACAGGAACCGTGATGAGGGTTTGAACCCTATGTGTGTTCCCAGGCACGCTCTAGTCGACTAGAGCGTGCCTGGGCATAGGTTCGAACCCTCATCACGGCGGCTCCTGTGGATTTGTTCGTTTATATATCACGACAATGTGATTTCTCTGTAACTCTGATCTGTTTCCCCAAAACCATTCATATTCTATCATCAAGTTGAACATGGTTTTGAGCAGTCCCTTTGAACCCAGAATATCCTAAATCATATATTTATTTTGTTCTTTTGTCTGAAATATGAAGATAAATTGAAGCTTAAGACAAAATCACTAAGATTGTAATTTGAAGCATTCGTAAGTAGGGTAGATAGTTATTTGTCTGTAATTGTAACTTAATTACAATGAGAGGATTGATTTCATATAAGGCAAATGAATTGCCTTAAAGTTGCTTAAAGAATTTAAGATTTTTTGTCTTTATTTACATTACTAGCAAGTTGTCATTCAAGGAAAATCTAATTGTAAATTTATAATGATTTTGTTTTCACTTTTTATAATCAGTGTGGGTCAGAATTAGATTATATTTCATTATATTGTACTGTACATTCTTCTTTCAAATTTCTGAATTGTGTTGAGCAAAAGTTACCAAAGAACACTCATGAAAGTAAAGGCTTAATACTTACCTATACGGTGTCTCATTATCATTATGGGTCTATGTAAGTCGTCATGTTGTTACAAGATCAAGAAACATGTGGTGTTTAATGCCATTGTATTTATGCGGAGTGAGATCCAGCTTTTGAGAGCCCTGTCTCATAGCTGCTGATACTGTGAATACCAGTTGCTTCCAGCATCTGGTTCAGGCTCATTCTACTTGTTTACTACTCTTGACTGTATGGAGTATTTCCTTATATTTCATTAGCTTATCTCTGCTTCAAACTTTTTTTCTGTCTTTGTTTTGGCACCTTTCACCTGCAAAGAGATTGTATCTAAAGATTGATTGTATTTTGTTTGTTATAATCATATTGTCATATTCTTCTCCCATTCAATGTTTTTGGTTTTGGTTCACTTATTTAGTTTCTACTTTCCTCATTTCTCTTCTCTCTGGAACTTGTTTTGAGACATCTTTAGACCTTAATTTTTCTTTATCAGGTGCTGGTTCCATGTGGGAGCTACATTCCTATGGAGTGGTCTAACAAATGCTGTATATTATATTTGGAAGGATTCCATGATCAGGTTCTTCAAAGTCATGCTTATGTTTGCTTGTTATGCATATGCAGCTGATATTATACTGTTATTGTGAACCTCTGGTGTTTAAGCTGGTTTTACATACACTAACAGGCTCTTTTCATTTTTGTGACTCGTGCAACTGCCACTCTCTTAAACTATACTGTTTCACTGATCTCTTACCTCTCCTAAACCTCATTACTTTACATTTTGTAGGGTTAAATTCTAGCTGCCACTTGTCTACTCAATCCTGCAGCTTGTCCAGGTCCTGTAACATTATGTAGCCCTATTCAGTCCTTATGCTTCCAGTCGGCTTAGCATCATCATCATCATCATCTACAAACATTGACATGTACTATTCTACCGCCTCTAGAAGGTATCAGGAACAGTAGTGGTTCAAATACTAAGCTTACGACTTGGAATATAATGTCTGATGACTGCTGTCATCGATACAATTAATTGAAATGTTCTGAGATACTAAGGGGCCAGCTGGAGAGAGAAAAAGAGAGAAATGCTACTATAAAACATAAAAATGTTGCCACTGCCCAGATACACTGGCTAGGGAACTGGGAGAGTGAGAGAAAATGGGAATAGCTGTTAAATGATGTTCACAACCTAGCCCAACAACTTGGACAGGTCTGTAGAGTGTCGGTCTTACTTCATGCAGGTCGGCATTCAATCCCCGAGTATCCAAGTGGTTGGACACCATTCCTTACCTCTGTCCCATCCTAAATCCTTCCCCTCATTCCTTCTAAGTACTATATAGTCGCAGTAGCTTGGTAATTTCTGATAATCTTGCCTTACCACCCGCACACAGTAAACAAACTAGTGAATTAGATAGCTCGAAGATCACGTGTGACAAGTCAGGACATAATAAAACAAACTGAAGGCCAATTACTCTTGCATAAATTGTGGAGAAAATTACACTGACTAATCTAAACCCTGTGACCCATCATAATACAAAACAATTCCCTAGAAATTAGGGAAACCAAAGAGCAAAATAAAATCTAAGGTAACAACTTTTTTTTTTTTTTTTTTTTGTCCCTTGATACATCATGAGTAGTGCATACATTCACATCCACTTTCTCTTGGCTCTTCTCTTGGACACCCATAAGAATAGAGAAAACTGCAGAAGGCCTATTGGCTCCCACAAGCACAGTACCACTCTCCATACTTACAGAGTGCTGTACAGCATTATACAATTGCTATACCACACTCCCACTTATAAATTGCTATACAGCCTTATACAAGTGCACTACCATACTCCATACTAACAAATTGCTATACTTGTACACCTTTTTCTTTTTTTTTACCTGAGGGCCACTAATACTTGTGGCCTCGACAAGGACAGGAAGTTGGCGGCTTGTCAAAGGTCCCCCCCATTTGGCCTGATGATCTTTTCCAGCTGTATTTTAAAACCTAGCGAAATTTTGGTGTTTACGGCTTCGGCAGGTAGGCGGTTCCACGGGTTTACAACACTGAGTGAAAAAACATCTCGTGTTTTCTGTCCTACACTGGCTTGTTGAGCTTGAACCCATTGCAGCTGATCTTTTGAAGAAATTGTCTGGGTCGACATCCTACAAATTGTTCAGTGTTCCTGAACAAATTCTCATTTGTGGGTTGACAACGAATCCAGCAGAGATGTAGACCCAATATTGTTAAGCAATGTTGACTACGGTCGCCTATGGGGGCATCTCCGGTATTAGGAGCCCTGAAGCTTAAGCTTGATTTGTTTCTTAATAGATTCGAAGTGAACTTGTGGAGGGTCACCCGAAGGTCACCATGCGGTGTCTTCGACGGGGACAGGAAACCGGCTGCTTGTCAAGGTCCCTCCATTCCAAGTTCAAGTACGTTTATTAAGCCCATAAAATACATCTCAGACCTGTGGAGCCCAATTGGCTAGGACTAATCTTACTCTACGTCAGTCGATTGAAGGTCACAGGCGGGACCAAAGAGCTGAAGCCCAGTCCTATTAAGCACATCAAGAGAGTATATCTGAGACTCTCATCGGCTATACCTATATGGCTTTAATTGACCTTGACCTAAGTCATATATTAACAAAAATAAATGAAAGGTCTCGATTGATATTGACACAGATTAACGGTAATTGACCTCAACTAAATGGTCACTGGGTGACCTAAATTACCAGAAAAGTATGGGAAAAAGAGGTCAAATTGGTGACAATTATATCTATATGCAGATGATGAGCCACAATAACGAGGCTGCAGTATGTTGACCAAACCACACACTAGAAGATAATTATATCTATAGTTAGGTCACTCATATGAGAGTAGTTATAACTATATCACGTGTGTAGTGACCAAAATATATATATTGACTTGGGTAGTAATCTCAGTCTCGTTCATAGAGCGTATAGCTGCTACAAGAATGTCTTCCTTTTGTCCCAATACTGAACAGAGAAGACAAAATTAGTTCGATAATATTAAATAATGGACACATGGAGACTATTGTTTGTTTTAATTTAACTCCTGAATATAAGGCTAATTGCATACATGCTATGCAACATTGTGATTCTAGCAGCCCAAATATAGCTCTCTATATAACGTAATATAGTACAACTATCCAAGCCGATTAGCAAATATGCAAGAGAACAGTTAAGATTCCTAATTATAACACACATTATTGTTAAAATACTACTCAGGAGAATCATTTAAATAGTGAGTTAAAGGTGTACATTGAGTTTGAGTTGTGTTAAGAGAGTTAAGAGAGAGGTTAAGAGAGCTTGCTAGAAACGCTGTGCATACTAGTGGCTATACAAGAATGTAAACACATCATGTTATGTACTCTCATAAACCCAATGTAACTTCTTGCATATTTATAAATAAAATAAAATCCAATAAGTTGTGTTAGAGCCCGAAATATTTGCCCTAAACGCTATGCGTACTAGTGGCTTTAGGTATTCTATATTCTACCTCTATCTTTAAATCAAACAGAATATTTGTACTGTAACTCTGCAACTATGTATGCACTTTTCCTAAATAAATTATTATTATTATTATAATTATTATTGTTATAGAGTTGTGAGGGCGAGTAGTGTGGGAGCCGTGTAGCCATGTGTTGGGGTCGGCCCCCGCCCGCCTCCACCCCGAGCTGAGACCCTTCACACTTCTCCCACACTCACACCTCACACCTCACTCCTCACCAGGCATGCTCACCACGGAGGCACAGGTGTCAGGGCCCCGGCCCGCCACGGTGAGGCTCCTCTCTAGGCTCCAGTTTGGCTGTAATGAAGGATTTTGGTGGGCCTCCCCCCCTTCCTCCCACGGGGGTCCGGGGCTCTGTTTGTATGGGGTCCCGACAATACCTGGATTTATGTATATATTTTCTCTTTAGTAACTTTTACAATATTTTTTGTCTTCAAGAATCACAAGAGGCTGATTGTCACGGTAACAATGATATTGGGAAATATTTCAACTTTTTATTTATATGGAAGTTTATGTTATCTGAATGTGATTGTTTTTTTTAGTTTAGGCAATTGTGTATAGGGTAAATATATATATGGTAAAAGTATTATATATTTTTTTTGCTCGGCTAGAAGTTGGAAATAGACAGGTAACACATTTTTAGGACTAAATTATACAACTATCTTTCCCCAAGATCTTCCTTCAACCTAATAACTGGTTCTGTAATATTTCCTCAGCTTGACAACTTCTTTTGATAATTACTTGTTATAAAGATAATGCATGGCTCTTCCAGCTCGGACTTTTTTGGGGTATTTTTCATTTAGACTTTACAGTATTGTCATCAATATTTTGTATACCTGGAGCATACCTGAAGTGGGTTCTAGGCGTCACCCCGAGCCCTGGCCGGGGGAACGATCGTTTCCGACACGAGGCGATTCGACGAAGCTAGGTTTTTACTTGTTAAAACCATGTACAGTACAGGTATATTGTTATGTTAGGATGTATAAGCTTTGGGTAGATTATATTGGGCTCAGTTAGATTAGGTTAAGTTGATTTGGGTTAGGTTAGGTAGAGTTGAGCTTGGTTACGTTAGGTAGGTTTTAAAATCTGTTGGCGAATAAGTCTTGTGTGCTATATTATATAGTATAGCCATTACTATATACTGTAGTTGCAATGGCTTGATGCTGTCTGCTGATAATTACCTTGTGTACGATGTGACTTGTATCTGCCCTAGCCTAGGGCTAGATGCATCTTTTGATAACTTTAACAGGCTGTTGCTTGGAGTGACCCGTATGCCCACACACCCACTACAACCAAGGCACTTCCCGATGGTCTGACTGGGAACATGGAATATTAGGGAACTCCAAATATGCTATATTTTATAATTAAATATGGTTGTGATTCATTAATTTGAACAAATTCTGTACTGTATAGCAATTTTTCGAAAGGTATCCTATATACTGTACAGTACCTGACTTCTTCTGTTGGGTATCTGGACGAGAGGTCCCATTGCCAACTCGTAACTTCGATTACAGTACTTGTATTTTTCAAGACTTTCTAGTAGTTAGGTTAGGCCTATAAACATTGTTGCTGGAACAAACATTTTGAAGAGGGAATGATAAGTTCATGTAGGAAGTGTCATGTCAGTTGGGTTGCCGTTCATGCAGGAAGTGTCATGTCAGTTGGGTTGCCGTTCATGCAGGAAGTGTCATGTCAGTTGGGTTGCCGTTCATGCAGGAAGTGTCATGTCAATTGGGTTGCCGTTCATGCAGGAAGTGTCATGTCAGTTGGGTTGCCGTTCGTGTAGGAAGTGTCATGTCAGTTGGGTTGCCGTTCATGCAGGAAGTGTCATGTCAGTTGGGTTGCTGTTCGTGTAGGAAGTGTCATGTCAGTTGGGTTGTAATGTCTATATTGGCCTGTGGCCTACTGCCAGCAAGAGCCAATAACAGGTTTGCTAGTCAAGTGGTATGAAAAGCGTGTTCCCTGTCAGGCTGCAGGAAAAGAACTCGTGAAGCTGGACTTGGTAAATAGTCCCATACCTGGTGCCTTATTTTGATAATTGCTTTCTTACTCTTGAAGCTGGCCACAGACAACCCTAAATTAAGATTTGGATATATTAGGTTAGATTAGGGTTGGTTTGAAATAAGACAACCTGTCGGAGAAGCTTTGTGTTTGGACTTGGGCAAACTTGACCTTTGTAGCATCAAGAGCCAGTATTTTTAGTCACTTGTGTTGTGTGATATAGTTGTTAGGGGGAATTTTTAATGAAGGGTGAGACACATTCCATGGGTGACACCCAGATGTATTCACCTAGTTGTGTTTGCGGGGGTTGAGCTTTACTCTTTTGGCCCGCTGCTCAACTGTCAATTGACTACTTTTTTTTTTTCCACACCACACACACACCCCCTCCCCCAGGAAGCAGCCCGTGACAGCTGACTAACTCCCAGGCACCTATTTATTGCTAGGTAACAGGGGCATTCAGGGTGAAAGAAACTTTGCCCATTTGTTTCTGCCTGGTGATGGAATCGAACCCGCGCCACAGAATTAAGAGTCCTGCACGCTATCCACCAGGCTACCAGGGCCCCCAGATGGCTACCAGGGCCCCACCAGGCTACCAGATATGTGTGTGTGGGGTAAAAGTTGTCATATGTATGTGTAACCCTTATACAGTACTGTACTCTATCTACAATTGTCCCTTCATCTTTCTTTTTACTCACATACAGTACTTAAGAATATCATTATTATTGTTACAGGTATTATAATTTATTATTATAATTAGAATAAAGACCCACACTTGTGTACAGGTATTTGTGAAATTTATGTAAGGAATTTACACCAAGTGTTTCTTGCACTCTCCTGAGTGCTTTGTTAAGGTCTGAGTGTGTGATTAGGATGAGACTTACATTTCAACGTGATTAGGCATTGAGATGCAAGTCTCGTCCTAACCACACATTCAGACCTTCATAAAGCATGCAGGAGAGTGCGAAAAAGACTGTGTTAATTCTTTACATAAATTTCACAAATACACAAATGTATTCTAGCAACTAGACCATGACTTGGTATAAGAATTGCGACTTGGAGTTCTACTGAAGGGACCAGAATTTTCACACAATCCCCCCCAATGCACTCTGGCTCTGTCATCTAGGACTTGTTCTACCTTTGATGTTTTACCCCCCTCCCCCCTTACTGCTCCTACAGATTTTCTCATTTGTGCAGTCATGCTAGTGTGATTACTCTGTGTGTGTAGAAAAATTACATTGAAGTGTTATACAGTAATGTGTTGCTGCATTTCAATACACATTAACCCCATCTGCGATAGAAGTGTTTTGTATTCCTCTCTGCCAACACTACGCAGTAATTTGTGAACAGATGGCTAAATTTACTTAAATAATTAATTATAATACTGGAGGATTACTCGACTAGGGCCACAGTTCCTGTAGCAGTGATGCCGACAGCAATAGCAAGAAGATGGAGGATGAAAGTAGTGGAGACAACTCTCAGGTTCCGGGTTCGAAGAGGATGTTGAGTACCGAGGATCCGGATTATGCACGTCCACCGGATGCCAAACGAATGAGGGAGATGCACATGAGAGGCAAGATTCTCATTCCTCTGTAAATTGTATTTTTTCCTTGTAGCTTAATTAATGTCACCATAGGGATAAGGCAGAGTATTCTTATTTGTGGTATTTTTTTTTAAATTCTTAATGGATTCTATATACTGTGGTTGAAAATGTCAATTTTTATGAGATGGAGTTTGAATTGTAATACAGTTCTTTAATTAGGTTATTCAAACTTTAAAAGTTAATAAGGTTAAGGTTCATATTTAAGACTTTTGAATAGATACAGGATAATCAAATATATTGATATCTATATTATTATTATTATTGGCTTTAGGACCAATGTTACTCAAAATTGAAAAAGAAATCCATTTCAATTCATCTGTCATTACTCTATTTCCCATTCTCATGGGTTAGGGTGGCATCCGACTTTTAGTGGCCGGAAGATGTGTCTGGTCACTTCTCCTTCCCCTTCAGTATAAGGCCTGTGGGCCATCCACTTTCCTATGCCAACAAAATTCCCCAATGACATTCATAATAACTTGGAATACAAATGCAAGTACAAATGGGGGTGTGTATAGTACATAAAAGGATGCCATCTTGAATGCTTGTTCATAACCAAATCAGTTGAATTCATAAAATTGTAAAAAAATTATTGGTTTTCTAATGACAATGCATTTCCCACCAGCCCAGGATGAACTAAGTGAACGTGTTGTGAAGGTGGTAGACAAGGAATTTAATATTGCCATTAATGAGAAACAAGCCGAGATGGAAGAGATTGATAATAGAATTTTACGATTGCAACAGTGCCTTCACACCCTCCGTTACTGTGTCTCCCTTAACTATTATTCAGTTAAGAAGGTAGGTCTCTCTCTCTCTCTCTCTTTTTTTTTTTTTTTTTTATTAACTAGGCTTGATACCATTTTGACTACATCACTATTGCATATTTAATTTGATTTATCTATACATATTACATTTTTAGCAGAAACAACTACATTCTGTTCACGTTTTGTGCATATTTTAATGATTTTCTAGGTTGTGTGGGTTAAGTAGTTGTCAGAACTAACAGTACAGTATCATGTTATTTTCACAACTTTAATATTAAAAACTGCTTTTAATTTTATTTATATCTGTATAAAATTTCATAGAAATCATAATCTAACATTGTATTTTTGTGCAGAAAGTCATATGACATTTTTCAAAAATATTCTGACTTATTGTGGGTAGGCTGTTGTGGCTCCCTGAAGCTACAATGCTGATATAGTGCCAAACCACTAGGTGCCTTCAGTCGCAGAGTTCCGTTAGGCCTACCGGGGACCACAAGCCAGAACCTGGTCTCCTCTAAAGAGGTTCAGGGTGCAGTGGCACTGTGATCAAATTGTCAGTGAATTTTAATCATGACCAACACCACGGTGGAAGTACCCACAAAGTCAGTGAAACAGCACAGACCACTGCTGGTTATGAGAAATATTGATACCCCAAAATTGCCAAGAGAACTCCCCCCAACAATGTGCATAATAAAGGAAGAAAGATTAAAGTCATGTTTTTGATTCATTCAATTATCATAAATAAAAAGTTAATTTTACAGTACAGTACAGTACTTTTGATGTGCACCTAGCAGTACTTTGATGTACAGAGTACAGTACTTTTGACGTACCGGTACAGTACTTCTAAATATACGTTTGATTTGATTTTTAGACTGATGAAGCTGGTAATAAGCATAAGCCCATGCTACATCCAACAGTCCGGAAACACTTGGGGAAGGCTCCAGTCACACACAAGGCTGCTGCTGTTTCTTCACTTGACGAGTCTCCTCAAAATAGTTCTTCCGCCCCAAGTGTATCGACGTACCAGGGTGCTATAACCAGCAGATTACCTCAGGAAGAATGTAAAGGTAGTGTTGGTGCAGCAACATTAGAGGAAAAGCCTGCAATCAAAGATAAAATTGTGAGTGGAAGTGAGGATGTTTGTGATACTCAAATTGAAGCTCATGATACTACAAAGGATAAATGTAAGGAGGAAACTGACGATAATGATGCGAGAAATCGAGATTTGAAATCTTCACGACCTCCAAGTCCAAAATATCTTCCTCCGAAGCCACCTGACAATCCACAAACTATATACCAGGGCCGACATCAACGATTCCAGAGTAAACTAAGGTAAACAAGTTTCAGCTTTATCTTTGTATAAAGACCATTTAAGGATGGAATTGTACTGCACAATATATAATTTCTATTTGTTATGTTCTAAACCAAGCTTGCACTAGATAATGTGAAGATCATTTTATTTCTTTTAATAATTATCTGCATCCTCTAATTAGCTATTGTTTCTTATGTGGATTAACCCATCTATTAAAGTTTGCCAGGATCAATTAAAAAAAATTATCTTATTTATTTTTTTGCATCTTGTTCTTTGCAAGCATAAGGTAATGATGCTTGAGTGATTGCATGATTTTATTCCACTTCAGATAACAAGGGAATAGATTTAAAAAAAAATCACTAGAGAATTGTGGTATTCTATATTTTTGTATTCTAATGTTGCTTTGATAATTTTTTCTTCAAATATGAATTAATTTTTGTATTATGTTTTATTTTAGGTATTATATTGTTGCTAATAAAATATTAATTTAGACAAAAGATTAGCAGATATACAGGATTCAACCTGACGTAGACCTTAGGTCCTAACTCTTATTGACATTTAATTGAATAATTTTGTCTGTGCATTTTGATATGCTTCACTAAAGCAATAATTGATCTCTTTAAGAGTGATAGTGGGAAACACCTACCAATATTTGACTTCACATGCTGAAGATGATAGTACTAGCGACACGCTGCGGTACAAGTGGCAGGTGTACGTGAGAGCACCGGGGCAGGGGGAAGACATCTCTTCCTTCATCTCCGCAGTCACTTTCATCCTGGATCAGAGTTACGCCCCGCACCATATCATCACTCTTAAGTAAGGAATATACACGTGTGTGGATACTGCAGTGTATTCCAAATTTGCTTTGTTTATTTCCTGTGGCTTGTATTCGTGCATATTCCGTATGTATCATAAGGTTTATTTTAAAGATACCTGTAGTGAAAGAAATCTAATCCAATTCCTTCAGGGTGCAATATATCATGTTTTGTGTTACACTATAACTGTTAAAATAAAATTTGGTATTACAGTACTATTTTTCCAAACTGCTTACTATATATCACATTATGCATAGTATTTACGGTACTATATTGTGTATGTTCATGACTTAGAAGTTAATCATGATATAGCCATCTCTCTCTCTCTCTCTCATGCCTCTCTCCTCCTCCTCCTCTTCCTCCTCTTCCTCCTCCTCCTGGCTCTTGTCTTGTGGTAACGTACAGTTTGCACCTCCAGACATCCTCCCTTTGTGCTGACTCGTCGGGGCTGGGGAGAGTTCAAGATTCAGATTGTCCTGAGATTCACAGATTCTCGCAACAAGCAAGTGAGACTACTTCACCCACTGGTGCTAATCCGGCCAGATGATCCTCTTTCTCTTACAGGACTATGGAGGTTGGGTAAGACTTGCTAAATTGTTGTCTTGACTATATTTATGGTGAATCAAATGTCTTGATAAAATGTATGGGTTGATACTAATATATTAGTTATAAGATACTTTCTATACTTAGCAGATGTTTAATAGGCTTTTGTTAAACTATTTGTACATTTAGTTAATGATCATATATGATATTTATTTATTCAGGATTTGTGTATCCTCCGTCTTGATACCATATAATTTAGATATTTTATTCCTTTAGTTTTCTGTGCAGTATGTTGGCTTGTTACTTAAAACACTTAAATATGTTTTAAAATGTATGGCTCCTATTGAAATTAAATGATGTATTGATTTATAATATGAGTGCAGACAGGTACATGGTACAGTATTTAGATCCCTCTGGACTGAACAAGAAGCGAATGTCTAAAAGGCTGGTTGCCTTGTCTGCTAAATATGTTACTAAACAAAAAAGTCGGTAGTATGGTACTGTATTAGGTGTGAATTGAATTGTAGAGGAGGATTTGCTGTTTTCAAATTAGTATTTTCTTTATTTTCTCTATCAAAAATAAAATAGCTTGAAGGGGTATTAAGATGCAAATACTGTATATACCAGAGGTAGTTAAACTTGCTAAGCTTTAGAGCCATTCAAAAATAATCTTCAGATGTTCACAAGCTACAAGACATGCTCGAACTTAGTTCATACATTTGCTAAGTCGTCATAAACATTTGCCTCCTAAGGAAAGAGCTGCAATTTCATATGATAAATGTCATGAACAAGTGGTAGGGAGTGGTTAGAGATAATGCAGTTCAACCTGGGATGACTGACTATCGTATTCATAAAAAAGAAATCCCCTCCCATGGTGTTAATAGTGACCACCAGCAGAGGTCTCCCATTTATTTCTCTTTTACCTGCTGAGATATCCACACTATTTGGTTTCTACATTGTCCACCGGCTGGCTTCCTGGAACTATGTTATCTCACATTCTCCCTAATTGGGAAATTCTACCTAAATTCATAGTTGTTTTGTAGAGAATACTGTATATAATCACTTCATGTGTATGTATGTATGCATGTTTTAACGATCCTGATTCTCTTAGCCAGAACTTTGTTCAATGACGTGTAAGGCCTGCCTTGAAGGCATTGCACAGTAAGGTAGCCTAATATAGTGATTTTTATTTTCCAGGTGAGTGCATTTTTCTCAGGGTTGGAAAGACACTTAACTCCTCTGTTTGGGTACAGTGATGGCTCTCTTTTTTTTACATTGTTAATTTCTCTAGAAGATGGTGGTGATCTGATAGCTCACAGGTCCTATTTGTCTTGTCTTTGGTTCAAGCAATGAGAAGTTAAGTGGTAGTTCTTGTTAAGGGATGTGAACTGTCTGGTCTGTTGGAACTTGACCTTGGTGCGTCTGGGTTGGGTTCTGCTTTTGCTTCCACTTCCTGGCTGTAGTAACCACTTCACTCTTGCTCATGACTGGCAGGAAATCCTCTTGTTTTCTAAGGCTGTGGCATTTGTGCCGTAAGACTTCTGTGCCGAGGTGGGAAGAGATTTTCCTGATCATTAATATTCAAGTACAAGTACATTTATTGAAACCATAAAATCTATCTCAAAAGGATAGAGTAGCTTAGGCTATTTCTACCCTCCTATCATTAATGTGGTGTTAATTGGTGAGTATCTTGTTTTGTGAGATGGGTTTATTGGGTTATACCCATGTCCTCGTTCTCCCTATTTCTGAATAACTTCTTGTGGTGGACTATGAGCTAGCACCTGTCTGGCACGTGGGGGTCAAGTCCATTGTTGTCCAAGAGCTTTTCTTCATTCTTCTAGCCGAATGTACATGGCTAGTGGGTTTGAACACATACTTGCCTTTGTTTTAGCATCCATGGCAGATACTGCTCTGCCCGACATGTTGATGCAGATCCTGGGCGGGATTCGGGTGCTGACTTTTGCATTCTTGCAGGTGTGCAGATGCATGTCTGGTGTAAGACAAGGAGAGCAAATTGAGAAAGAAGAATAAATATATTCCACACTACACGGTGCAGCATAATATGCAACCATCACACTAGGCAAATATGCACAGCAGATCTCCCACCCCAGTTTGCCGATAAACATTTACCAAACAATGAAATCCTTTGATAGTACCTGTAGACGTACTGGAACCTTCATGATTCGGTCAAGGTACGGTCTCAATCAGTCTAGATGAAATAGAAACCATCGCTAGGAGACAATACCAACCAATTATATAGTTCTGTACCTTTCATTTGGTAGCATTCTGCTGTACTTTCTCAGATATTTAGAGATTTTATCGCTAACATACATTTATGCTGGTGTTTTTGGACATCACTTTTTTTTTACCAAATGTTTTACTTGTTTCTTGAAAATATTAAATATTTTGACTTGGGTATTTTGTCTGCAATTTTAGTGAAACTTTATCTTCATTTTGAATAGGTCAGGAGAACTGGTATGATCTGTGGGTCTACGAGTCAGACTCTGGGAGCCCGGGAGCACAGCAGATCACGGAGATGATGGCCGAGGAGGAGGAGGACTGTCCAGCTTCCCTTGCCAGAGAACTCACAACAGGTGTCGTGTCTTCCAGAGTTGAGGAAAATATCACCGTTGTTCACAACATTGGGGAGAAAAACATTACACAAAGTATAAAACGGGTAACTCCAGTTAAGCCAGAAAATGAATGCAAAGTTTTAACTAACTCTGATAGAAATAATGTGACCAAGTGTGCGAATAGAGAGATAAGCGAGTCGGTGGCATCAAGTAAACAGTGTACCATCTTACAGTCTCATTGTGATGCTAGTAGTGATACAACTTTAAAAACGTGTCGGGAGGATAAAAGACAAACGGTTAGTAAATCTGAATCTAAAATTAAAGTTGAAGGACTAGAAGAGAGCAAGTTGCAAGGACTGAAGCCATTAAAGGAACAATTGGGTGTGAGAGTGGCTAACATTAATGGTGTTCAGAGTAAAGTGTGTAAGATACACGTACGGCAGCCTGATGGACGTCTTGTGCCTTATTATATTCCTGCTCATATGTACTCTTTAGCACTCAAGATTGCTCAGAGTGGTACAAATAAACAAGCAAATGGAACAACTACAGCTGATAATAAACAAGTAAATCGACAAGAAGTAATCAAACAGCAGAGTGTAAGCCAGAGGATAATTAAGGTGCATATCCCAGAGGGCCAGGAGAAAGGGGGCATTGAGAGCATCATTGTGAAGCAAGAACCAAGTGAATTATTAGCACAGCAGAGAGATGATACAAAATCAGTAACCTTGGAAGTAAAGACTGAACTTGAACAGAATACAAAAACATCTACTACTCCAATTAGAATATTAAATTTTTCCCCACACAAAAAGGTAGCAATAAATAATGAAGAATCGATAAGCTTAATGCCATCAACCAGTGGCATACAGGGTGGACCTAAACTATCCCACATTACACAGACAAAGCAGACTGTGGCACGACTTTCCACTGGCAGACTTCCACAAAGTCCTCTTCAACAGCTTTTGGTAAAGGCTGTCCAGGACAAAAAACATGCCTTGGTTCACCAACTTCTGAGCAAGAAGGGGCTGAAGGATGGCTCTGGCACACACAAATCTCTGCAGGGTCAGATAACTTATACACAAACGCCTGTTGGGTTAAAATCCAACATTCAGATAATGCCACTAAAAGTAGTTCAAGATATGCAAAGCACTGGCTCGCCATCGACCAAAATCATTCAGAGACCAATATCTGCTGCAAATATTAGATTCATAACCAATAATGGTCAGTTAATATCAGCCGGTAAACTTATGAAAGGTAAGACTGCCTTGCCCTCCAGTAAAGTATCTGCCAGTATATCCTCGTGTTCTGTCCCGACATCTAGCAACTGTGTTGTTGCATCTACTTCAGGTGTTACCCCAGTTTCAAGTAATACTACAGGTATGGTGATGATACAAGGAAATCAGCAAGTTGCTGGGTCAAGTGGACTACAGCTTGGAATGAGTAAAGGCAAAGCAACCATAACACAACTTCCTCCTCTGGTTGTGTGTAGTAGTGCAGTGGAGACTGGCACAGTTTTACAAATTCCACCTTTTGTAGTCCGAGGAGTGGGAAATGGCGAAACATTAAAAACTATAACGAATTCAATAAAGTCTACAACCAGTACGACGAAGAATGTGACTGTGCCGGGTGTGTCGTTACTGCGAGGCAGCATTATTACAACGACAACACCTACTGTCTGTAGCTTGCTCAAGCCCATTGCCCCTGCCCCAAGTGCAGATACCAGCTCTCCAACCCCAGTTGTCACAAATGTACTAACCAGAGTCACAAGCAGCACTCCAGTTAAGACTCTTTCTCTTAATGCATCATCTTGTGACAAAAGTAAAATATCGGCAGTAAAAGTGGATAAACGAGAAGGTAATGGGAAGGAGGAGGATAGAAATCTCTGCATTGTCCAGGAATGGGAAGAGCAGGTCAGGTAAGGGAAATTTTTCATATGTTTAATGTTTCACATTCAGAGTACACCAGATATTTGGTTAAGGCGAGTGTACTGTATGTTATGGGCACAAAAACTCTTTTAACTAAAAAAAGTATAGAGTAATGGCCGTGTAGAGAATAAAAAAGGAGTGAAAGACTAAAAACTGATATATTTATTGTGTAAGGAAGGAGCCAATTCTAGGTTTGAAAATACCACATTAAAGTACAGAAATTATTATTAAGTATCAACTATCGTTCCTCATAGCTTGATTATCTATTTCTTGAAAGATCTAAAATATATAAATTGGAATATCTTAATTTTTGATTGGCATGTGTAAAATGGTGCCCTGAAAGAAAAGATGATGGCTCTAGATTGACATACTTATGCTTTGAAAAAAATTGTTTATTAATAATACATATTGAAAATTAAGTAGTGTACTGATAAATGATATGCATTAATATACATGTAAATAATTAAAGGATGCTTGTCTGTCAGTGACTACAGCAGAGTACAACTTTTGCTTTTTATGCCCGGTCTCTTGACCCTAATTTGGTTATACTTGGTTTTGAAGATATGGATGGAAGTGTGTGATAACTTATTCCTTCAGTGCATTTCTCTTTGCTGAATAGCTCTGTCAGGTACAAGAATTTCCTTACTTTTCTAGAATTTGTGTTTCCAGCTTCCACTAAAACCATTTTGTTTTTTCTCTCTCGGTTTAAATAGCGTTCCTTACCTATCTTATCTATTCCCCTCAGTACTAGTATCTTGTATGTGGTGATCACGAGGTACCTTTTATACTGGAGCTGCAGTCTCTAGAGTAGTAATGCTATCATATGAGCTGTGTCAGTGGTTTTGAAAGCATCTTTGTTTTTGATTCTTAATACTGTTCTTATGTTAAACTTTCCTGTGCTGGTGCTGAAGGGAAGGGCACAGGAAAAAAAATTGGAGATCAAGGGAAAGTGCAAAGCCATTATGACTGTTTAACACTTGGAAGGGATCAGGATAAGGATTTGGGATGGGATGGGGGGAAGGAATGGTGACCAACCACTTGGACGGTCGGGGATTGAATGTCGACCTGCACGAAGCTGAAGTGAAAGATTTGTTACGAAATCCTGAATAGACCCAGTGAAGAGTAAAGGTGCCATGGGCACAATCACAGACCATTGTAAGAACATCGGAGGCCCACATCTTTTCAAACTCCTTCCACCATTTATAAGAAATACTGTCGAAACAAAAGTGGAAATTTTAAAGATACAATTGCACACGGTTCTTGAGGAAGTTAGAGATCAAACAGCTTTTATTGTCTTTGTCTACCATGTTACTAGTGACCCTGGTCCTAGTGAGGAGCATCCGAGGTGCCCCTCAGACATGTCTTGTCCTACTTTCTTATTCTGCTTGGCTATTTTCTCTGGTATGATAGTTCCACTACAGTGAAGGTCCAAAAGTGGATAATGATGGTGGTATAGTTTTAAATTGGCTATTTGCTTATTTATTTGTATTTATACAGTACTATCTTTTTCCATATTGTGTGTTGTTTTTAGTGTTAGCAAACCAATGTTAAAATTGTGTTGATTTCCTTCAGATTGAGTAATTAATATATTTTTGTTTATTTTATCAGACGGCTAGAAGAATTATGCAGAAGATGTTCTTCAGCTGATATGTGCGTATATATCTGGATGAGAGCACTGCCACTGGTTGATTCCCACCTTAAATGTTCTCCAATGTTATCCTTTTGTGCAAAGTCCCGTGACGAATTTGTGCACTGGCCACTAGGGAAGCAGCGTGCGGCAGAAGTGAGTATGTTGTCTACTTGTGCTTGCACTAATAATTATTTCACCCATAATGGATCGCCCTTAGTTTCACAGAGTATGCATTTTGACCTTGCCTCAAGTCCATTGGTCTTGTGACCCTGCATCGTTGATCGACCTATCAATAATTCTATGGATCTTTTGACTATGCAAGAAAATTATTGACCTTGCAAAAGTGTTGTGTGCTTCGCTACATACCGGACAAACTATTGTTATCTGTTCATAAGTGGTAGTTTATTCATCCTGATCAGAAAAATTATATATATTTTTATCTTGCATTTTGTAACCTGCAGTAACTAGGTGCTGCTACCCCATGAAGAGGCACCAATATATGCTTAACACTAAGAAGTCCGAGGCATCATAAATAAGAATTGTTTCAGCATGTAAACATGAAAGGAAATAGCCGTGAAAAAGTATGAAGCTATTGAGACATGTATTTAGGGGACAATAGTAGGTCAATTGGCGGTGATTGAATAATAGGTCAATGTGAAGGAATTACATTTTGAAAGTGTATAGTTGGTTGCTGAGGGATGATTGTTGGAAAATAGGAACTTTTGGGGATCAAAAACACTCCCTCATTCTGAGCTTATCTTCATGAGGAACTAAAGTTGTTAAAATTGAGTGCTATTAAATCTATATTATTGGGGGTTCAACATAAAACTTTTTTACGAAGCTATAAAGCTATTTTTACAGTTCCATAGAGCACGCGAGATTAAACGCCGCCTGGAACAGTGCCACGTGGATGGCACTGAATGGTGGAGTGTGGGTAGAATAGTGGCTTGGGCACGACGTCACGCATACACACCAACCCCTCCCAGAAAGCTGCTACGTACAGGTGTGTGTTTATACATGCGTTTTCCTGTCTTTACCTCTGTTTTGCACTATCTTTGTGTCCTTTATAATACATAGCTGAACTCTGCTATTAAGACTACTGTGGGATCTACACAATGTGGAGTTGATATTATATTTTAAGAAAATCCAATATGAAAAAACTATAACTGTAAATGTAGGTTATATCAGTGATCGTTCAGCAGGGATCTGCTATAATTTGCCTTTATCTGTAAAAAAAATCCAGTGTATGTGTTCAGTAGTTGTCAACTCTTAGTGTTTTCTTATCATAAAAAATATACGGAAGATAATTGTCCATTTTGAATAAATAATGATGCAATAAGTCTCTCCTCCTATTTTTGTTATGCTGATGAGACAGACCATTTCTCCATTGAATGAGAAGTGGTCATATCAGTGTATGATAGTGCAATGAGTGAGATGTGGGGGTCATATTATGAGTGAGTTCTTCCCTCTACAGACATGTTGTTACCACCACCAGCAGCTGCAAACCCCGAGACAACGTTATCGTACCTCGGCAACCTGGAGAAACTTGTTCAAGATACTAGTAATAGGATGACACTGAGTGGCGAGATTGGATTGCAAGAGATTGATGTAGTCACAGTAGATGACAAGAAAGAAACTTCATCTAGATGCAAGTTATTAGGTAAGACCATGAGTAGCCATTTCATTCGTTAGTACAGATTTGAGTTGGATGCTAACTAACTATTTTGTACTGTGATATTGTCAAAATACTGTACTGTGCTAGTCATTAAAATGATAAAGATTGCAACTTTATCTACTTAAATTTTGCAAGAACTTTTTAACTAATTTTTATTTTTTAACTAATCATAGTTACATACAAGTATGACAGGGTTGTGAAAATAAGACAAGAAAAGGAAGGATGGGTAGACTGCAACTTCCTAGACTGCCAAAAAACCTTTGATTCAGTTCCTCACAAAAGACAAATACGCAAGATGGAGAGACAAGCAGAGCTAACAAAAAAAGGCACTGGACTGGGTACAGGAGTACTTGACAGACAGGAAACAAAGGATCATGGTCAGAGAGCATATGCCAGGCTTGAAAGGAGTGGAAAGTGGTGTTCCACAGGGCTCTATCCTAGGACCATTGCCGTTTTTAATTTATGTAAATGACCATGCAGATGGAGTAAGCTCGTACGTGTTGTTCTGCCTTTTCTTACCACAACACCAGAGGCACATTTTATAAAATGCTGTGTTTTTTCTTTAACTTGCATCACTTGTTATTGTTACAGAGCCAACTGAAACACTCAAGTAAAATATTTACAACTAGTGTATTTACTTTTGCTTAATATTGGCTACTAATATATTGCCCCCTTTTAGCTTCTCCTCAGAAACATCCCTTGGAATTTTTACCATGGGAGGATGTGGAGATTGGTGGTGGGTGTGAGTGGGTGGGACAGCTCACCTCCCGGCTCAGGCTCACCCTCAAGCCAGAAGAGGTTGCCGAAGGCTATACTGCTGATGCTGCTCGCTCCACTGCATGGCGGGTGCGTATCTTGATCATTTAGGAAACGTTTAAAAGGCTATAAAGAAAGATTGAAATGAATGCCTCACGTGAACATCGTGAGAGAGCTTGGAAACGGTGGACAAATTGTGGGAATTCTTGCGAGCAATGTTGTTCTGAAATAAGTTTTTTGAATGGTTTACTTCCCTGTTGCCTAAGACCCTTGTGTTATCAATAATCTCCAGCAACCTGATAATGTCTTGGTAATTCTGAAAATCCCTGGTTTAAATTGGTTACATAGCTCTCATAGACAAGTTCAAGTATGTTTAATGAGACAGTAAGATACATTTCAAAGGGATAGAGTAGCTTAGGCTATTTCTACCCTCCTATCTCTCTCTCATAGACATTGTTATCCAATATATAGAGAAATGCTCTTACCAGTGTGTGTGCTTGTGGGTAGGGAGGATTAGCTTCTGAAATCTGATTCTTTCCTCTTTGGTATTCAGTCCAACTCTACTTGCAGCTACCTGTGACTGTTGTCGTCTTTTAAAAGTGTAGAGTGAATTGGCCTCAGCCACTTATTGCTGTACTTAACTGTGCCTGCAGGGAATAAGTTCTAGCTTTTGGGTCCCATCTTATAGCTGCTGTACCTCATGCATTATATATTCTGACTTGTAGTATTGTTGTCCTCTTAAATCTGTGAATGAAGGCAGCTTCCATTACTTCTGCTCCCAGCTCATTCCACTTGTATCACCTTCACTGCATGTGAGTATTATCTTGTATTCTTTTTCTCTTTTTTTTTTCTTTCTCATTTGAGTTTATAGCTTCCATTTATACCACCTCATTTTATTTACATTCGCCTGGAAAATTGTGTTGCAGGCTCTCTCACTTGTGCATCCATAAGTAGTGGTGTTTTAGCCTCTGTTAAAATATTGGTATGAGTAATATTATGGTCAACCAGTAATATTATGTTTTGTGCTACAATATGTTTTGAATGTAGGAATGGGCTGCTGTATATATACTTGAAGCAGGGATTACAGATGGCAAATTTCTGAGAATCAAAAATGGGATATATTGGAGTGGTTTCAATCAATAGATGAAATAAATATAGATATATTAACTGCAGCTCTTATGATAGTTTTGAGATGAAGACTTTTACTTGAGTAGAATATGGCTGAACCTCATTGTTAGAAGGTAGAATTTTCCAGTTCTGTTTTGAGGAGTACAGTAGTGTTTAATACTTCAGTAAATTATGATATTTCATGGTCAGCTAGTTCGGTTTTAATGTTTTTGTTGAATGTGAATTATTGATATAGAGCAATTGAATATTTAGTATATATGCTTTCTTCAACAGGCAGTGCTGAGCCTTATGGAAGACCTACTGCGATCATCTCATGCTCAGGCCTGGGGAGACACCACACACACCACCTTAGTGCCTCCACAGGATATTACTCTTAATCACGTCCTCGGTGCTCTCTCTAATTCACGACCAGAATTTGACATTTTTACGGATTACGGTTTAGGCATACCAATATAAACTGCTTCTTTTAATAATCATAATAAAATGCTAAGTTTTGATTACTGAATGCTGACAGAATGGTGTGGACTTAAGTGGTGTTAGTGGGTTCCGTCTCCAAGATCTTCAAAATTGCAAGAACTTTGTGGAAATACTGATCTGATTTGGTTTGACTAATACTTGTTACATCTAATATTTGCATTGATAAAATCTACAGGTTTAGATCATTTGCCAAATGTCCTTGAAGACAATAACTGATGTAACATTTTGTTACCCAATTTTGAAAGTTGTCAAAGAATGGAAGACTTCATCATTTGCTAGTTGGGTTGGTTAGCATGCTATGGGCCACAAGTTATTTTATAGTTTTCAGATTGTCATTTGCCAGTAATGTTGTTGCTGCAACGCTAAAGAAAGTGCTTTAAATGGTGTTTCTAAAAGGTTATGTATTGGTCAGCTTTCACCGAATTGGGAAGCGGCAAATAGGCACGGTACATAGGTACAGTATGTCAAAAAAAGTAAGTTTTATGTGCTTGGTCCAGATTGCTTTCATAATGCTCTTCCAGCTTGCTATTTCTTAATTGATTTTTAGGTTACCTTCAAAATTTCATCAGTCATATGTTTGCCTTCATTACTCTAGGCAGTTGTGTACGTGCATATTTACAAAAGTGGGTGTTGGGATCATGACAAATTTGATTACGGGTTAATCCCAACCATGACATATTGGGCTTATTCTGCATGATGTATTAGATGATGTAGAAGACTTTTTGACCTCTAGTTGTGTTTTACTAAATTTATATTTATCCATAGTACTTGTGTTATAACAGGTAGGTAAATTTTGGCTATACCACATTTGCTTTTTGTCTACTACGGATGTGTTATGTATCAGGATGAAGACTAGTACCGTAAAGAAGATTTTGCTAAAGCTTGATATGGGGAAATGACAATAAGGCATCTTGAATTGTGACATGTACGCTTGGTGAACAAAGTTTAAACCAGATCACTGTTATGTGTATATGTGGTGACTTCGTTAAAGCCAGTAAAGTACACGGGATGGTTTCATGGGTGAAACCTGTTTCATTTTTGCTAATTTTTATGGGTCAATTCTAATGAAGGTGAGTTAGTATTGTAATGGGTGAAGCCCGAGCATGTCATCATTTTGGCAATTGATATTTTGATGTAGTACATATTTTGAAATGACCAAGGCAAGGTTAGTTATGTTTATATTGGGTAGGACACGTGTGAGAACTTGGAAAGTTACATTTAATATTTGTTAAGCAAAAATATCATGAAAACTTGGTATTTTAATATAATAACAATTCAAACTCAAATATTTTTGTCAAGAACTTCATAAAGTGTGGTGTATATTCTGCACCCCTAAAACTGTGTGCAGGCAGACATATGTTTGATAAAGCCAATGGAATCTGAAATATTGGTTACTGATAGATGTATCGAGGATGAAGATCGAGTTGGACTCTTAAGTCAACCTGTTGTGAGACTCCCACTTACTGTACTTTTGTCTTGAAAGTAACACAACATTTTAATATTTTCAATCTGATCCTGATTATAACTTGAATGCACCTATTATTGTTACTGAATAATATTAGATTTTATGACCAGAATAATGAAGAATTTGCATTATGAACATTCTTGATTGTTGTGGTACGTGTGAATTGTATAATTCCAGAACTATCTGTGATATTCTAGATATGGTTTTAAATCTGTCATTTTTTGGAAATGTTTATAAAAAAATCTCAGGGTTGAGTTAATATTTTTAATTCCCATCTATTTTTTTTAATTCCCATCTACTGTATTCTGGATATTGTAAGTTCTAAGGCCAAACAATTTAATTTTTTATACGTAACATAGGATCCTAAAATAAGGTAATGTTAAGGAAATTGAACATAGCTGGAGCCCTGACACGGCAAGGCAGCCACAAGGGCCTCGATGATCCGAAGGGCAGTGGAGGGTGTTGTAAAGCTTTTCTTATGGACGATATAATTGAGGAAAAATGTACGGGTTTTGTGAGTGGTTGCATAAATGCTTGACAAATCCTGGTCCTGCTGTACAGTCTTGTTATTTATGTGAAATTTAAAGAGAACATTTTCTCTGAAGGCATTGGAAAAATTTCCATATGAAGTGTTACCCGCCTACCATTTCATATCCTGTCTTTGGATATCCTGTATGAAGCCAATTAACCTTCAGCAATCTATTTTCTGCATTTTGCACCCAATACTCTTCTTCCCTTCGACTTGTCGTTACTCTTCTTTTATCGGAACATTTTCTGAATGCAACTTTGGCTGTGTAGTTAAATGTCTGAAGTGTGAATCATTTTGAGAAATGCACCGTGGACATTTGAATTGAGAAGTTATTTTCGAGAAAAGTTTAAATGTTATCAGCTGGGGCTCATGTAAACCTAAGTGGAAATTAATATTTTGTGTAACTGATTTTGGGTCATTTGTTTTGAAGACATGTTACATACAGAACCACTGCAAATCATTGCTTGCCAGCATCTTAAATATGGCAACATCTTATTTAACTAGTTTGTTCACCTTGTAGAATATCTCAATTTTTTTAAAGATTGTACATCTTGTTTTCCTATTGGCCCTAGGGATGATTTGTACCTCCTTAGAATCCTTGGCGAATCTGATATCTTTGTTATTGCTCCCCCTTTAATGTTCTTTTGTTCTCATACCAGCATCCTGACGTTTAGTGAGATATATCCTGTGATGCAGATGATGCTACACGGCTTCCCCAGCTTGGTGGTGCCTTTTGATAATTACTTATTCAGTTAGTTACTAAACATCACTAGAGTCCATCCACACCCAGGCGCGACTCTGATCAAGACACAAGTTCCAATTCACAGGACTATAACCCATTGCATCAAAACAATAAGGCAATTGTTATAAACTGGGAGATACAGTGTTTAAGGTTGTGCTGTATAGACCTGTAGTTATTCTGGCTTAGTTTTTCCTTTTGCTGATTACTTAAGCATCCAGAAAGGCTTGAATTTTAAAAGTTTTAGGCAGTCATGGGCTACACGGGTTCATACAGGCCTGGGATACACCGGTTCATACAGGCCTGGGCTACACCGGTTCATACAGGCCTGGGATACACCGGTTCATAGAGGCCTGGGCTACACTGGTTCATACAGGCCTGGGCTACACTGGTTCATACAGGCCTGGGCTACACTGGTTCATACAGGCCTGGGCTACACTGGTTCATACAGGCCTGGGCTATACCGGTTCATACAGGCCTGGGCTACACTGGTTCATACAAGCCTGGGCTACGCCGGTTCATACAGGCCTGGGCTACACCGGTTCATACAAGCTTGGGCTACACCGGTTCAAACGGGCCTGAACTACACCGGTTCAGGCGATCTTGGGATAATTTCACAGTTTGGGACAGGAAGCCTGTTCGGCTCTTCGAGGTCCCACATCAGGCCCAATATACTGACCGAATACAACCAGCAATAGTTGTCCTAACGTTTGGGTATCTAATTATTACAAGGTGAACAGGGGCATCAGGTGGTAGAGGAAACTTTGCCCAAACGTTTATCCTGTTACGGTAATGGAATTTGAGGACTTTGGACTGTGACCCGATCAGTGCTTTTACCACTTGTCTGAGGTAATCAGGTTCAGGCGGTCATGGACTGCACATGGAGTTCAGATTTCAGCTTGATCAAGGACCTAAATTTAATTATTCGATTCAGTACGTGGTGGTGACGTTCATGGATTACACATTATTGATTGATGTCATTCATTATGCACGGAGCCGGCGGGTGAGCGGACAGAACACTGGTCGCGTGATCCTGTGGTCCCGGGTTCGATCCCGGGCGCCGGCAAGAAACAATGGACAGTTTCTTTCACCCTGATGAAAGATGATTTACTGCTGTTACCTAGCAGTAAATAGGTACCTGGGAGTTAATCAGCTGTCACGGGCTGCTTCCTGGGGGTGGAGGCCTGGTCGAGGACCGGGCCGCGGGGACATTAAAGCCCCGAAATCGTCTCAAGATAACTCTACCCATTCTGTGAGGAGGGGGGGGGGTTATGGAAAAGGTTACAGAGGCTCTGGAACTGAACCCCAAAATTAATTTCACTGCGAAAGTTATATTGATAAACTAATTAGTTTAGTATAGGTCAAGAACTAGCCCCAAAAAAGTCTCATAGGCTAATCAAACAAGAGATGCCAAAGCAATGATGGTACGTCTTAATAAGATATTAAAAGTGCTCTCTATGGTGGAATGTTATTGCAAACCAACAAACCCCTTTCAATAAGAAATCGCTGTCCTGGAGAACAGTCAGGGATCTTTTGCTGCCCAAATTCACTCGATAAGCCATCTAAGTTTTTACAATTTAAAATCTCAAACTGTATTCTCCAGAGAGATGCATGATAATTTCCATTTGGTAAATATTAAGAAGGACGTTCCAAATCTGCGCGCGCACAATTCTGCAGACCAGGAGGCATGGCAGGAAATGCAAAATATCCCCAATGAAAAGCAGTTAGATATTAGCTATTGCATCTATTGAGATGCAATAACAATATTACACTAAGCGAGGGACCGAGACTCATCAACACACACTAAACATAAGAAGCATAAACAATACCACAGGACTAATTTCAGTCTAATTTTAACAGTGGTTGAGTACAGACGTATGGCACATCGCTTGTGCCAGGTGAGTACGACGGGCTCACCATGGCCCGTGCTGCTTATACAACTTTATGTTCCCAGTAGCTGAATCTAAAACAACAACCACCGCAGGACACCTGATCAAGCAGGCTGTGATTCACACGTCGGGCTGCGAGCAGCTGTGTCTGGTTGACCAGGCTACCAGGAATGGGGGGACATTGATTCCTAGAACCAACAACAGGTAGTGACAAGGTAAGCTGTGGTGAACTGGTTACACATTTCCTAATAATGCAATTCAAGTTCAAGTTCTACTTGTATAAAGGAGGAAATGTATATGTTTATCTTTCAGAATGTTTGGTAATATATTTATTGTTTGTGATGTGTGTGTCTATGTATGTATTAACACGATGTACTGAACGGGGTGAGAATAGCTTGAGCTACCTCATCCCTTTGTGTGTATTTTACCTCAATAAACTTATTTCAATTTCAAGTTCAAGTACGTTTATTGAGACAAGAAAGAAATACATCTCAAAGGGATAGAGTAGCTTAGGCTATTTCTACACCCCCAATAATGCCATCATGTACTCCTACACTATTATGCGGGCAGAGCCATATATTTATGGCTCATGGAATAAGGTCAGCAGACATCTAAGACATTATTGCTACTAGGCTTAGGATCTTCTACAAGGACGTCTGGGAGTTTGTACTATACCTGATGAAGTATTTGACTAACTGTATACTGTCAACAGAACTTTTCACATATATTGAAAAGATCATCAGGAAAAATGGGAGGGGGGGACCTTCGACAAGCCGCCGGCTTCCTGTCCTCGTCGAGGCCCCTAGGGTATAGTGGTCCTCAGGTAAATAAGGTAAATCATAGGGGGGTAGAAATAGCCTAAGCTACTCTATCCCTTTGAGATGTATTTCTTGCTTATCTCAATAAACATACTTGAACTTGAACTTGAGGTAAATCTGGGGGGGTTAGAAATAGCCTAGGCTACTCTATCCCTTTGAGATGTATTTCTTGCTTATCTCAATAAACATACTTGAACTTGAACTTGAGGTAAATCTGGGGGGGTTAGAAATAGCCTAGGCTACTCTATCCCTTTGAGATGTATTTCTTTCTTGTCTCAATAAACATACTTCAACTTGAAGGTAAATCTTACGTCATTATTCTGTATTTTTTTTACCTAATTTACCTGAAGGCCACTAACTAGTGGCCTCAACGAGGATATGAAGCCGGCGGCTTGTCGAATGTGCTCCCATTTGCTTTGATTATCTTTTCCAGGTAGACTTTAGAACTTAACACAGTTTTGGCATTTACCGCTTCGGCGGGTAGGCGGTTCCATGGGTTAATAATTCCTGTGGGTGAAAAAGCATCTTCTGTTGTCAGTACTACATTGCCAGCCTGTTGAGCTTGCAATCGTTGCTCCTTGTTTGTGTTACATCTGATCACAAACAAGGACTTGTTCAGTATATACTGAAATATACTAGTATATTCAGTATACTGCCCGAAACGCTTTGCGTAATAGTGGCTTTAGGCATTGTATGTGCTAGCTCTATCTATAAATCCATCAACTTTTGTATCTTACCTTGTATGTATGTACCTTACCTGAATAAAAATTTATTATTATTATTATTATTATTATTATATAGTTTATGAATTATGCATATAGTTTAATGTGAACAAAATAAGAATCCGGAGATTAAAATGTTAAAAAAATATGTAAGTACTTCATTCAGAATGATGGACTACCAGAAATATCCAAAGTGTACGTACTGTAGGTAAGTATGCACATAATTGTAAAGAGAAAACACCACAAATATTCGATGGAGAATACATGTTGAAGCAGGTGGGAAGTTTCAGGTTGTGACGTGCATGTGCGTGTTCGTGTGTGTGGACCGCACCATTTCCGGGCTACTCATGCCCGTGCCACCTCTTGCCGTGCACGGCTACTCATGCCCGTATCACCTCTTGATTGATTGAGTGCTTGATGATTAAGTCACCCAAGAGGGGGCACGGGCATGAATAGCCCGTAACCACCTCTTGGATGGTTTAATCTTCATCAATCAATCAACCCGCGCCGCCTCACCTCGCCACGTGCATTTGTGTATGTACTCACCTAGGTGTGCT